CTTGTATAGACTAATTGATATTCCATTTATGAGAACATTGGTAAAAAGATTAGATCATTAAGCCAGACCACACAGGAGTCTTTCATTGGAACACACAGCTCGCATATTGTGGGGATGATCTGAATAGGTTTGATATATCACCCTTTAAGTCTTGAGAAACAATGTGTTGTTCCATGTGATGAGGCAAACAGACTGTAATGACTTTAAGATGTGTCTGAACCTTACTTTAACTCCCTTTCCCTGCCTGTCTGCTTACTTGTCAGGAACAGTGTGGTCACAAGCAAAAAATGAATCAATCTGAATGTAGTGTCCCAGAAGGAGAAATGGAGACCCATTGCTATTTTACCTCCCACACAGCATTCAGATTTTCTTCAGCAGATATAGAAGGACATGGGGGTTCCAAGATCACCACCTTGTGGAGTCTCATTGAACTGTAACAAGGCTACAGAATGTTCAATTCCCAATGGAGGTTTGGTTGTGGTTGAGGTGACACCTCATTTCCATGCTTTCATAACCTCATGAGTGTGGAAGCTTTGTTGGGAGTTTGGGACAAGGCCAGGCAATGGGGCAGTACGAAGGGAGGTAGTTCTCTGCTTTTCTTCAGACACAAAGCGCACTTTTCGTCAGCCGGACTTATAAAGGGACTGTTTTCTTCACCACCTTATCTCTCAGTATTGAAGAGTGTAGTGTCTGGAAACACTGTGCCAAAATCTGTGTGTAGGTGTAATCGGGGCTGCAGGCTGACGAAGCGAAGTTAAAGTTTTTCCTGCTGCGGTTGTCATCTTTTTTAGTTTTTTCTTAATTACCTTTTAGCTTTTATTTGTAGGAAATTTATACTTGGAAATTGAATATCTTATTTTAAATGGTATTAGCATTATTTTTTAAAATGTTTTTTGCTATGGGGCTCGGAGCAGGGGCAAAGCGATGCACAGCTATTTTTTAATTATTTTTTTAATTGGTGTTTTTTCTAACACCAGTTTTCCAAGTGGCTAATTTATTCATTTTGATTTAAAGTTGATCTACTTTTCTGGTGATTCTAACCAATCGCCAGCTGCGCCTAACCAAATGACCAAGTAGCTGAAGTCATTTTTTGCCTGTGTGTCCTTTATTCTAACCGTCTAAAGGCCTCTAACAAAGCATGACAGCCGTTGTGTGGCGCAGTGTTTGACACAGAAGCGATCATTCCTAACAAGAGCTGCAAGAGCGATCATTCCTAACAAGTCCGCTGGCAGCTGCTTGGCCCCTGCAGAAATCTGCAGACTCCCTGGAACTCCTCCTAATGAGATCTCAGATGTGGTTGTTTCCCGGATTTCTCAAAAGTACGTACATCTCAAGAAATCGATGGGTCTGTCTTATGTAAGCATCAGTTGGAATGGAGGGTGTACACCTGCACTAACAGCCCACCCAGCCCATCTGGAGAGCGAGGTCTCTGAGCTCTCTATTCACTCTCCCAGCACACGCTGGAGTAGCACATGGCAATTTAAACGATGCCATTGAAGACTTCAGGCCTGTCACTTACTTATTGCCCGTCTTCTTTTTCTTTTGTCTGAACTAAAAAACATTTGTTGTCAGTGCCTCGCAAGAACCGTAAATTCTGTTAACCCTTAACAGTCTGGCTTGGCCAACTTGCGTTTATACCCTTTAACATTATAGTCACCCGTGTTGCCAGAGTAGCATTTTAAACCCAGAAAAGGCCTTCCCTTTTTTTAAACTGGCACTGTCAAGGCAGTGAAACAGCTAGCCGCTTCTTTTAGCAGCTGGTGTGTATATACAGTTTATACTGTATCTGGCTCACACCAACCTAAGAGAACTAACTTTTAACCCTGAACAACCCCTCAGTCACATTGCAGAAGCTGTCTACAGATGTATGGGAACAAAAAAGAAATCAAGCTACAAAATATGACTCTTGTGAATAATGGATGCATATGCTGTATATATCATTTTCAAAATCTGGGGATGTACTGATCATGTCTGGGGGGTATCTATAAATATGAATTGTGCTTAACAGACTGTTTAATTCAGAGTTATGTTATGCTGTTGAAAATAGTTTTACCTTTTGAACAAATACTGTATGTAAACTACACATTTATGATCTTTATGAAAATACGTCATACCAAAACAAACGGGAAATTCTCAATAAAAATGATACATCAATTTTGAATAAAATAATTCTGTTTGTGTTCTTCTGTTGGATTTCCATGCTGAATGTTTAAACCCAATTCAGGTTTTAAAAAGTGTTTCATATTCTTAAAACTGTACAGTAGGTGTTGCGATTGGAAGGTTTCAAGCAGGTTTCGGTGAAATGTGGGAAGGATCCATTTTAAAAGTGTGTAAATCAAGTTCAAGGACAGTATGCAAAGGATCTCCTTTAATTTCATCTGAAAAAAACCTCACCGCTTCATCCCATGTGACCAGAGCTGAAATTCTGACTGGAAAGTCCCTCTCCGGGATCTGTGTACTGCAGGGTTTGGATGACAGCGTCATCGGAGCTCCCAACAGATTCATTCCGCAAAAGAACAGAAAACACTTCACACACCCTCAAGAAAGCTCAACGCAACTCTCACCTTCCAAGTGTTTACATGGTTCATCTTGTTACAGAGAGGGATTTGCATTGGTTAGGATAAACGAAATGTGCTGAGAGATGTATTCAAAACACCTGGGCTTTTACAGCTCCCTTAAGTGCGTCCTGTACTTGTATGGTTTGCTATTAACATTCAAGCACCGCAAGGATGTCTTGCATTTAATTTGCACCCTTCAACCCAAATTAATCCGTAGGGGTGTCAGAGTGCGGTGGCTAACATTGCTGCCTGGGTGCAGCGCTGGGGCTCTGGGTTCAGTTCTGGACCTGGTGTGCTTCTGTGTGGAGTTTGTATGTTCTCCCTGTCTTCACATGGGTCACCTCCAGGTGCCCCATTTTTCTCCCACAGTCCAAAGACATACTGGCAGATGAATTGGCTACTGAGGAATGGCCCTGCATGTGAGCGTGCATGTTAATGTCTGTGTGCGCCCTGCCCATGGACTGGCGTACCACCCAGGGTGTACCCTGCCTTCCGGGCGTTGCTCGCCAGGATAGGCTCTGCGATGACACTGAGTTGGGATAAAGAAATTAGAAAATGGATGAACCCAAAGGTCTTTCCTCCATGCAGAGGGAGGGAGGCAGATAAAATGCATTAGCTAATTGTATTCATCTAGAAAAACTATCCCATGCTGAGAGCTGTGTCAGCCTGTTGTGTTTACAGAGCTTTTTTTATTCTCCCTCTGTTCTTCCTTAATTCCTTACATGTGCTTGAGCTTCTCCCATACTGTTATTAACACTTACCTGCAGTAACTGTCTTCTATCTTTCTCTCTTAATGAAGTCGTTTCAATATCTAAAATGATCAGTGAGGCAGACCGCCTTTGTTCAATTTGAGAGGTCCTCTTGTGGACGTGAAGTGTAATTACAGACCAAAGAAGTGAAACATCACCCAGTTTAACGAATTCCCCGTGCTCTTTTATCCATGCCGACTCGCAAAATCAATAAAAAATATGAATAGTGCGAAACTAAAACTGGCAGGTAAAGTCATCTGTAAGTGACACAAAAGCAATAAAAGCACGGACCTTTCTACGAGAAGCTACATAAAACACAATATTACATGTTAGTAGAAAATATATTAATAAATTTTAACCGACCTTACAGAAGCTATTGCTTTTAAGAATATAATGGTTGGGAACAAATAGACGAATCCTAGGTTAAAGGGGTTTATTATGACATAAAAGTGATTAAGTGAAGACATGAAAAAACAAAAGATTCCGTTCGTCTCCTATTGTTTGATTTTAGTATCTCGCTAGGTCGATTTGACCATTTCAACCCACGACAATCATCCTTCCTGATATCTCAGAAGTTTTGCCCTCAATAACGAAGAGAGAGTCCAAACGGTGTACTTCAAGTCAACTGACGTCACAAGGTGGGTGTTACGTTTTCAGCCCGTTTGGTAACTGTTGCTAAGCTGGCAGGTCGCCTAGGCAACGGGACGCTGTCTCTTTGCAAAGGCCTTGCAGCTTTGCTGGATTCTGTGTTTTGGACTGTGGAGAGCGAAGCACACCCCTGGACGATACAAGTCCTAAGACACAGAAGGATAAAACATGTCGGATATTTTGTGCCAGTGGCTCAACTCTGAGCTCAGAATATCGAAACATGTGGGTGAGTGCATTTCTTATTACTTTTACCTTAAAAAAACACCGCTGACTTTGTTCCGCATGGCTAGAGTATAGAAAACATAACATTTTAAACACGTTTTTTGCCTTCAGAGCCGAGTTCATTTGCCAAAGATTTCAGCACCGGATATCTGATTGGCGAAGTCCTGCACAAATACCAGCTTCAAGACGATTTCGACCTCTTTTCAAAAAGCAAGTGAGTGGAGTAGTTCTAATTTACTCGAAGCCGCCTTTGCAGTTGACATTTGTAAGTGTGCAGTTGTCAAAGTCCCCCGATCGAAGCCACGCGTTTCGGTTTGGCTCTTGCTTATTGGAAGTTTGGAAATCCAGCATGAGAGAACAGTCAAAAGCTAGTGTCCTCTTCAGCGAAGTCCCCGTCTTTTCTTGTGTGCAGGATAAATACCCCCTATTATTATTAATATTATTATGTGCAACAGGCAGCTCACAGTCACCAATATATATAATGCAAAAGTATTTTAAGTGTGTTCTCCATAACTGCATTTTCCATTTTCTTTCTGTTTTTCATTAACTGCATTATTAGTCTTGATAGAATTCATTGCTCTCCTGCTCAAAGGCCCACATACTGTAAACTAAACTCACCTCTTTTGTGACTCTAACATGTACTGTATCTGGTATTGTCAGTGTTTTTGCAGCACACTGACATCAGACATAATCTGCCATTTTTCTGAAAGGGACCTGACAGACAACTCCCCAGGTGTTCTCAGGTGTGGGTAAATGATGATAAAGGCCTCTAGCAGCTCTGGTTAAATTAAAAGACCTCTAGCACTGGTCCTGGACACACCCAAATCACGCAGGTTGTATAATTAATAATTGAATGATCGATTCCCAAACACCTGGAGCAATTACACAGCATCTGTTGAACAGGTGATCTATTCAGTTAAGTAGTTCAGACATCAATTGGATCTGAATACTGAACAAAAATCTTGACTTTGTCATCCACTAATTACTTAATTGATCAGTAACACACAGGTGTCTCCAGTCTTTAGTCACAGATAATTCAAGATGACGTACAGTATAAGACTTACTGGGTTAGAGGAAGTGTTGGAGCCCCCTAATTTAACCATCACCACCGGAACTTGGCAGTCAAGTCCATGCATTTAAATTGCAATGTCATCAGAAAAGCATCTTGTCCTACACACTCCTACAACAAAATGGATGTGCACATCTTTAAGGGAAAGGACCAGTGCCCTGGACAAAAACATCTGCGATCTGATGACATTCGGTCCAGACACCCGAGACACTAATTTCAGCATTTAGCTTCTTTTCCCCCTTGCAGGACAGCTGATTCCAAACTGAACAATTTCACCCGGGTGGAGCCCACGCTGCAGTTGCTGGGAGTCCCCTTTGACCTGAGGATTGCCCAGTCCATCATGTCGCAGCAGCACGGCGTGGCCACCCGGCTGCTCTACCAGCTGTACATTGTTCTGCAGAAGAAGAAGAAAGCGGGGCTCACGGGAGTGGCCCTCGAGACCTTACAGCCGACAGCGCTGGCAAAGCTGCAGAGCATCGAGAGAGAGATATACAACGATGTGGGTTTCGCGAGTACCTGAAACTGAAACCGTTTTCCTGGGAATAAGCTCTAGGGACCGGCCTCATCAAACCCTTCCCGAAATTGTGGTGCATAGCTGTAAAAACACAGACCATACTTTTGTCATACAAAGGGACATGCAGTTTCTCTCGGTTGCCTCCACTGTGTGGCTAGTGTCAGCATTAGGGATTGTGCGCACTGTGATAATGCAATTAATTAAGTCAACGGTTCCAGTTTCTGTAGGAGCCTTATCTCTTCAGTGAACTGAGAGTCTCACCTTATGGCACTGCTAAACATAGCCCATATGGTTAACCTGGGTACCTATGTCTCAGGCTACCAGGGAACATTCTTCTGTGATAGAAATTTACCTTTTGTTTTCTTGTTTTCCTCTTTGGGTTGATTCAGCGTTACAAATCAATTCATTTTAGTATCTAAAATACTTAAATTTTAATGCCTGAAATTGTTAATGGGTGTCTGTAATAGTTTTGGTGCGCACTGCATAACAGACCCCTATAACATTAAAATGAATTTTTACTGCCCTTTTGGTTAAGTAAACTGGATAATAATGAAGTGTCTTCCTGAAAGTTAATAAAAATCAAGAAGAACTAAGTAGACCTTGAAAACCTGCCTGTTTTGATACACACTTTTTGCCTCTTTTTAGCGTCTGAGAGGAGCAGTTCAGCGTGAGGCAGATATCAGACTTCAGAAAACATCACAGAGATATGAGTTGAAAGCGAAAGAGATTCAAGATAAAGTATCCCTTGTGCGTTACCAAGAGATGCAGAAAATGCAGAAACTGCAAAATGATCTACGACTTCAGAGTATTGAGAAGGTACAGTGCCTCCTTTGTCTTCACTGGGAACATTGTTTCATGTAAAATCCCAAGGTCATTAGAGTGAAACTTACTCTGTGTTCTTAAATAATCAGATTCTTTACTGTAGTTTCCAGAATAAAGCATTTTCTGTGTTACACATTGTAATAAAATGTGTATACATATTCAGTGTCCTCCATATTGCTGTTCACAGCCTGAACAGACGTCTCTGCAACTCTCACACAAGTGTGGCATAACTGAGCTGCCTAATCAGTTGTGGTGCCTTTGTGGAGTTCAGGTGATCTCCTACACGCATGTATTTGCTGTGTTTTAGTGGGAATGGTGGGTTTAAGTCTGACAGGATTTGACCTACAGGACCAAAGAGACGATTGTGGCTTACCAGGCTCCTTTATAACCTGCAGCAGTACTAAATTAGGGTTGTCTTTCTTTCTTCTGATGCACCAGCCCTCTCACTGGTGGCTTGCAGTTGGAATAAGAATTAGAAAAAGAAACAGATGGTCTGTCAAGAGCAGGAGATGTCTAGAGTCTCTGTTCCGCAACTTTGAGGGTTGTACTTGTTGGATAATCTGATTTAAAACTCCAAATAGAGGTTGGAGATTCTAAGTTTAGGCAGTAGAAAAGGATTACTGTCTTGCAAGAGAAGTACTGTAAAAGGTAAAAGTAAAGTCCACACCAGAACCAGAACAGTTCATCGGGCCAGAGCTCATCCTGGTTTCTGTAGTGTTAAGTGGACTTTATACAGTAGCACATGACTCCCTCCACTGGATAAGAAGCTCAGGGAACATCCCCCCAGCAAGGCTGGTCCCCACTTACTGTATACAGCTTGGTGTGCAAGAGAATTCGTGTGAAGTACCTCAGTCAAGGTTCAATAGTGATGTCTGCAGCAGGGACTCAAACACATCATCAAGTCAGGGTAATATAGCAGTTGTTAACAAGCTGCTGCCCACCCTGTACAGCTTAAAACTTTCTGTTTCAGCATCGGCTTGCTCGGAAAAGACAGAACGAGATTATGGCCAGGATACAAGCTGCCATTGTTCAGATTCCCAAACCCCCACCTCGGCGGACTCTTAAAGCTATCGAACTTCGTAAGCAGCAAAAGAAGCAGCTGGAGGCTCAGGTACGACAGGTCATCCTCACAGAAAACATTGTTATATAAGAGGCCAATTGTTCAGAACAGTGATTTTATAGTTTGACGGATCAGTGCTGTATTGATAAGTACTACTCAGCTGTGTGGTTTGCTCGTAGCTACACTATATATTTACTCTGGAAAGTTTATGTGGTGTGACAGTACTGAGAAAAAGATTGTGAACTCCCTAGGTTTGTTTGTATCCTTGTATATTTAAGACTTAAAATGTAATTGCTGTAGAGAGTCATCTAATAAAAGATGAAGGTAACCCGATTTAGCCTAGACACAAAGACGCTGGATATATTCAAATTATTTAATTTAATCATCCAACAGTACATAAGTATGTGAGCCCTTAGTTAGATTTAGTGACTGATGGCAACTTACCGTTTCCTGTCACCTCCCGTTTATCAGTTTCCTGTTTGTCAGCTTTTAGGAATTTTGGCCCATTCCTCATTACTGAACTGCTTCAGGACAATCACATTTGAATGTTCCCTTACATGACCCCCGCTGTCTTCAGTCCTGCTATAACATTTCAATAGGATTTAGGTATTTGACTTGGCCAATCCGAAATGTATGTTTAGAATTATAGCATCTGCTTTAATGTTTAGAATTACTGTATTGCTGCATGTCCCACTTTTGGCTCAGCTACAGCTGAAGAATTGGTAGCCTGATGTTTTCTTCTCCAGAATTTGTTGATGCAACTCTGAATTCATGGTTCTGTGATTGGTAAGCTATGAGGGACCTTGCGCAGCTAAGCAGCACCAAACTGTGATACTCCTACTGCCATGCTAGACGATCAGGATGAGGCTCTTCTGGTAGAAGGCAGGGTTCGGTTGTCGTAGTAACATTTTTCATTGTGGTCAAAAAGTTCAACATTTGAGTCATCTTTCCGGTGAATATTCTTCCAGGGGTCTTCTGGATTGTCCAAGTTTTCTCTAGCATACTGTACAGGAGAGAGGTAACAATGTTGTTTTTAGAGAAGAGTAGTTTCTTCCTGGCTATCCTCCCATGAAAACCATTTCTGTCCTGCCTTTCCTCATGGATGAGTCATGAACACCGACATTAGCCACAGCCATGTACCATGTAGGCCTGCAGATCCTTAGATGTTACTCTGGAGTTACTTGTGACTTTCTAGATGATAGTTCAGGTTGCTCTTGGGCATCTTAGCAAGAGAAGATGACCGGTCTTGGGTAGAGTCATTGATCATGGCAAAAGTCAAAATGTATTTCCACTCACGTGTTTGGCAAGGACCATTTTGTTTCTTACAATTAGAACATAGCTGCCCAAATTCATTTTTTGTTTATATTTTACCCAGTTATTTAACTATTCTAATTACTGTCTTAATTTTACTAAGTAAACTTTGCTAAGTTAAGTTATTATTTCACATTTTTCAGTGATTTTTTCTACTTCACTCAGCGCTGCATCTCAAAAAACATTTAATCTATCAATATAAACCCTTTTTGGTTATTTTAGAAAATACCTGTTTGATTATAAGAGAGTATCATTGTGAGTAGTAATATTTGGGGTCCACGACCTTTTTCTCAGTACTGTATTATGTAAAAAGTCTTCTCCCATAAGCAACATGTAAAAGGCTGAAGAACAGGAATGCATCAACTGTTTTAACAGAATTATTTTACAGTTTTTTGTTTGAATATAATGGCATATGACCTAATTTCTAATTGTTTTGGGAAAACAATTGCAACTGCTTGTGACTGTTAAAAGCTTATTTAAACAGTAAGGTGACTCAATCCATTTGGAGTGAATGCTTACAGCACTGGTGCAGATGATAGGACAAGGTCTTCCTAATGCTTTGATTGGATGTATCATAGGATGTGTACAGTGAGATCCTGCAGTTTGAGAAAGTGAGAAGGAAGCTGTCTCCATCTGCAGGTGTCACTTCCTCTCTCAGGTGTGTGAATGATTCATTCTTAAAATGATTATCTTTAAAACTAAGCTCTATTCATGGCTTTGCATTCATTTCTTTTAATCACAATTTGCTGTAACCTAATGATTTTATCTCTGTTTTCTTCTGTATTGAAAAGCTTATCTGCAATGGTTATGCTGTATATTGTAAAGTAGTTGTTTGGAACCCCTGTAAAGGATGTACCTCTGACACTAATAAGAATTAGAACAGATTTTATTAATTATGACATAACGTTTTCATGTTACACTGCCTGATAAAAAGCCTGGTGATTCGGAAAGGGCAACTGGTTCCCCACAGCAGGTTATTCTCCAGTAGTTCAGAGTTTGCCAAACGGAGTATTTTCCGCGATGAAGCCAGCTGTATCTGGGATTCTCCTAGCAGTGAAGCGCAGCTTGCTGAGTGGTGCCACTCCTGGATGGGCTCAACATCAGCCAGAGTTTCTGAGTTTCCGCACCTCAGCCACCCCTGTAGCTTGCTACAGTAGGTGCCTGGGAGTCAGCTGTGTTATTAGCGAGGGCAGAGGCGGTCCTGTGTCCAGACCTTCCCCTGCTGTTTGAGTTCTGGGCGTTCTAGTATCACATCGTCCGCACCTCTCCTGTGCTGGTGTGAGAGCGATGGTAAAGGAAATATGATGTAATCCAGGGGCAGTTTCAAAAGTAGACTGCCATGCAAGTGCGATAACTAATAATACAGGATGTGTAAATAAAAATGGTGGGAATGTCCACCCAGAAATGTTCTTTTGTGCAGTGCTTTGCAAGGGTCCTTCCAGACAGATGGACAGAGCACGAAGTTCCTCTCCCCCAGCTGGGAGGAGAAAGCGCAGGCCAGCAGCCTGTACATCCTGAAGATCCGTCAGCGCCTGGAGGAAGACGCGGCTGCCAGGGAGCAGAGAGAGAAGCGGCGCCGCAAAGTCCTGGTGGAGCAGTTCAGGGCCCTTGAGGCTCAAGAGGCGAGTTCCTTGTCTGAAGGTCCTTCCAAGCGTGGTCTGACTGGCCGCAGAACTAAAGCCTACAACAAACTAACATGGAATAGCAGTTTTATAAATTGGCAGCTGAAACATCTTAAAGTAAGAACCCCAGATGCAGAAGCAGATGAATAGTCTATGGATACTGCAATAACTCCACGCCTACAAATGGTCATCCCTTATAAATGGTCACCTATGTTTTTATTCCCTATGTGATGTACAATACTGAGTCACTGCTGTGTTTGTGTCCATTCTTTATTATTCTGTGTTGCATTACAATATGATTTTCTTCTTAATAATGCAGATTTGCAACAGGGTAATACAGTATGTAATCAATAAAATATTAAACTTTAACATCAGCAGCTGGGGCATGTGTCCATCACAAAAAATGGTTGTATAAATGCTGGTCTAAACCATCAAACTTTCTAGCAGTTTATCCTCTTGATATTATTTAGTTGATCATATCAAATCTTCTATCGGCCAGTGCTGTGTTTCCAGAGAGACCTGTATGTATTTGTGCTGTGCTGTGACCAGGATGATGATAAACCTGTCTTTCTCCAGGTCCTCATCTCTGGGATGTACAGTACTATATTTTACAATAGGACTAAGCAAGCCAGTATGCCAGTGATAATGTACAATATATTATACAGTAATATATAGGCAAAGACAGAAGGGGTGTCGTTTTTGTCACCTCTTCCTGCCTCATGCTTTTCGGACTGGAACACAAGGGCTCTTTCCCGTCACAGGAGACATATCGGGAGGAGCAGCTGGTGAACCGGCTGACGAAGCAGTCCCAGCAGGAGCGCCGGCTGGCCGTGCAGCTGATGCAAGTCCGTCATGAGAAGGAAGTTGTCCGAAGGAACCGCATCTTTCGGGAGAAGCAGTACGAGCAGCAGAGGCTGAAGGAGTTTCAGGAGGCTCTCGACAGGGAAGCGGTACATTTCAACCTGGGCAGTTATGCCTGGAAATACTGCTTGGATCTGTATTACTGTATAGGCACTAGGCTGTAGATAATGTTTGTGAAGATCGTAGTCACAGAAATTTCCACCATATTGTATAGTAGAGTATAGAGTATTTTCACCATAGTGTATACTGTGTTTTATATTAGAAAACAGATATTGCTTTTCTGTAATCGGTTCAGAGAAGAATGACCAGATACGTTCCTGTGCTTGAATGAAAATCTGGAACTGACAGGGTACAAGAACAAGAATCCTTGTGGTCTTAAATAGAGAGGACAGGTCTTGTGACTGGTTGAGTTTTTATATCTATTTTGCCCGAGAACCAGCTAAATAATAGATATGATGTTAAGATAGATTTTTCGTGCACTTCTAAGGCACTGGCTAAGCAGGCCCAGATTGACCACATGGAGGAGATTCGTAAGGAAATTGAGCTCCATGACAAGATTGCTGCAGAGAGGGCAGAGGCTCGCTACCGAAAGCACTACAGTGTTTGCCAGGAGGTTCTCAGCCAGATGGTTGACCTTGTGACCAAAGTTGGAGAGTACCGGGAGCTGACCAACAAGTATGTGTTCATCCATGGTACAGAGCCATATGGAGATCAGATTCAAGTGTCCTGGAATGTAAAGATGCTTAATCAGACAGATGATCTAATTACAGAACCTCATACATGTATCTACTCTTACATATCTGCCAATTATCACAGACTAAATGGTATTATTTATCAGAAGTTTGGGAGGAGTCAAAAAGATCTAATCTTGCATTTCCACTCTACTACAGTACCTATCAATACTCACTAGCTGCACACAACTCTGTGCACATCTTTTCTACACCCTTCTCATCTTCGTATCTGCAACCCTGCAGCTACCTCCCTGGCTCATTCCTCATAAGTGAGGGGGGTTGTGACAATCATGGCTTTTTGGCCAGTGCTGTTATTTCCTCAGGCATGTGTGTTAATGCCATAATATTCAGTACACGATCCCTTGATATTTGTTGGCTTGTTTTGTCCTTACTTAAATATGACTAAACTAGTGGTCTAAGTATGAACATGTTTGAAAGATGTATCTTTACAGATGTGTTGGATGGCCACCTCTCATTAGTAACCTTTCTTTTGTTTTTGAGATTGTAAGGAAGACATCTGTGAATGCATCCTTATTAGTAATATTTGATTTACATTGAAGCTTTTAAAGGACCTCTCCTTGTGTTGACCCTTGTGAGGACAAGAAGTTACTCTTTGTAGTCAACTCTATAGACATTTAAAAGAGAGGAGATGTGTGATTTGTTAAGAGATTAAAATTGGCTGACTTACATGAAGGTACAATTCTATATTGTTGTGTACTGAGCAACTTCATGAATCATTGAATTTAAAACAAATATATCTGTATCTTCTTTTATTCAGGAAGGCAGTGTTGTCCATTTTGAGTTGTTACAACACATGCATGTTCTATTGCTATTAGTAAGAGTGTACTGATCGCAATACTGTGGCATTGTTGTGCTTCCCACAGTCTGATACCTGCTAAGCTGATGCAGGAATGGAAGGAGCTCTTCTATAATGGGAAGCCCCTGTATGAGCAGGCCTCTGTTGACCCATTGCCACCCGAGCCCACCCCTGAACAGATACTAGAGCTGGAAAAAATGGCAATACTGGATAACCAGGATTATGAGGACTACCAGGTATGGCTGTTGCAGTGCACAAAATGTGGCCGAGAAGAAATCAGCCTAAAGAAATTTAGAACATTTTTCATCTGCCTCTGTCCTCTGTCCTCCTGAAAAACACTCAGCTCTCATGTTATCTAGGCTACTGTAATTACACAGTTATTACACTGTAATTGCCCACATGATTGTGAATATAGCATAAACCATTTATTTTAATGATTGTGAGTAATAGTACGTATAATGTAAACTATTGGTAAATAATAGCTTTAGCCTTCATTGAGGCTGCTACTGCAAAATGCACTATTGTTAGGAGCACCATGGTACTTTAGCTTTTCTGTGCATTATACAGTAGTTACATGGTTACTACTTACAAAACAAAAAATAATTTCAATACTGATTTGTTGCCTTTTTAGTGTAGCTTGAAATATTTTTAGGGTTTTTCCAAAACACTAAACCTGACAACTTGTGCCAGACATTTTGGTGCATTTTCATATGCATATCTAAAAGATATTCTTTATAGCGTATAGTGTAGGACAAAAACTCGATAGCCGTTACAGAGTATCAAGAAAATTGTTATATTAATCCCAGAAACCATGGTGAGGAAAACATTCTAAGATATTGTGATTTGTCAATTTTGAAAAGCTTAGACTAACAAAAGAAAAATGTTACGTGTGTGTTGTAATTACAAAAATTAGGATTTGCATTTTTTTAGTTCTACTCATGTTTGTGCTTGGAATATGGGGTACAGTACATGAGACCTCTCTCTTCCTAGCGTTAATCCTGCATCAGCAGGGTCTACTTGTCGGCACGCCTGTCTCCATTTGGCGGTTTGAACCAAATCTTTGAGGTGACCTTGCCATTAAATGCGACCAAGAAATACTTCAATCAGCGCGTCGCTCCGCCTGCCGTCGGAGTGGGGGGAGGAGAACAAAGTAATGCAGCCAATTCATAGAGGGGGATTATTTAGGAAATTTGGCCAGGATGCCGGGGTTACACCCCTACTCTTTTCGAGAACCACAGAGAGTCAGGACCTCGGTTTTACATCTCATCCGAAAGACGGCGCTTGTTTACAGTTTAGTGTCCCTGTCACTATACTGGGGCATTAGGACCCACATAGACCACAGGGTGAGCGCCCCCTGCTGACCTCACTAACACCTCTTCCAGCAGCAACCTTAGTTTTTCCCAGGAGGTCTCTCATCCAGGTACTGACCAGGCTCACACCTGCTTAGCTTTCAGTGGGCTGCCAATTGTAAGTTGCAGGGTGACATGGCTGCTGGCTCACAGTACATGAGACCTGTATGGAACAAAACTGGTCATTTCATTATTTCAATTTTTTGTGTCAACCTGTGCTTTGGGTACCCTTCTTAACAGTTAAAATGGGGTGTGAAAGAGCCCAGCACCCTGACATGGTTAACCCTATACCATATACCCTATACACTATAACCCTATACCCTACACAGTGAAAGAGTGCTCTCCTAGACCCTCTTGAGAACCTTATCTTGCACACTTTAGTAGAGACCTTAAGGGGCCCTCCACACGCCCCTAAGCTTTGACATGTGTGGTAATACTTATCACTGACAATGCTTAGTGTGATACTTTCACCACAGCGCAGACAGTGTTCTTAGCCTGACACCCACATCCTGGAAAAGCAGCTTGCTTCACTGCAACAGGAAGAGCTACCCCCGACACATACATCTTTCAGAAATGCACTGCCAAAGGCTGAGCAGCAAAGCCTGTCTGAGTGACATGTAAAAATCATCTCTGGCAATGAACATACAGTAGATCCTAGGTATTAAAAGGGAACTAATGAGCTTTAGATTCAGACAAACATGATACAGAGCAAAGGTGCATGTTGATTTTTAATGTTAATGCTGTACACCTGACAATATTTTAGTGAACTGCAAATTGCATTAACAAATCTGGCATGCTTTTCTCTCCAACTTTACATTCCTTTCTAAAAAACAATTTCCAGAAAACTCCACTTCATCTGTGTTTTTTCCCAGCTTTAGCAGCAAACTAATCTTCTGAAAGTTTCTGCTGTCTGTGGTCCTAATTAGTTAACTCAACAAATTGATTAGGTACTGACCCTTTTTATCCAATTTGCTCCAGATTTAAACCTGGAATATGTTTAAAGAGATTTATTAACCAGGGAAAAGAGTTGAGGAACTATTCTGCAGTATTGCCATTGCTTTTGTGTCTTCTACTGTGCTTATGCCACAGCACAAGAACTTAAGCAAAACAAAATCATTTGTTTTAGTTAAAATGGACAGATGTTGTCCAGGTTTGTTGCTCTTGTCTAACAGAGGTGGGAATTATGTCATTTCTGTAGCATATGACTGGGGAATGGGCTGCGCCAGATGACTGCGAAGTGAAAGAGCCTCTGCCCAAGAGCAACATCTTGGGCCATGTGGTATACAGGCTGCTCAACATCATAAATCCCCCTCAGCCAACCAGCCCATCCCCCCACTTCCCCCCCTTCACTCTGAAGGCGTGTGTTCTAGGAAAACTGTTCTCCGGAAAAACCTCCTGCCTGGAAAAAATTGCCAAAGGTACACTTGGGTATCTTTACAGATGTCTGGTTGCAACATTTGTTTACTCTCCTAGTTTTTGTGTACTTGTTGTTCTTAGTTGACTCCTCTCTTTTCTTAAATATTGAACTATTTTCTTCTGGACTGAAAGTGAAGAAAAAATAACCACCACACAAGTATAGTTACTCTTACAGTTTAGCTATGCTGGGTTTTTCCTTAATGCCAGTTCTTAAAAAGAGGAGACTTGGGGTTTTAAGGTGATCACTGCAGGATCAAAACATTGTGCACAAATGTATGACAAAAAGAAGTCAGAAGAAAAATGACACTTTTGCCAGTTTGTCTTCAAACCCTGTAAATTACACAAAACACCCATGTCTAAGAATGGTGTGTCTGTGTGTTGCTTCATCAGCTTATCACATCCAGATTCTGTCAGCCAACACGATGATTCGAGAAGCAGTCAATGCCTTTCAGGACAATGAAATGGCTGAGGCCCTGCCAGAGTTGAGCAATTCTGGGAAGGAAAGAGAGGTCAGTCCTGTGTTTATTAAACTTTCTTCTGTATGTTCTATCCTGGCATTTGCTGGTTCACATCTGGACTCTGCCATTACCCGAATGAGATTAGAAACTTCTTCAAAGACTGACTGAGAACTCTTGAGGTGGAGTGGTCTAGGAAAATCCTTGATTTTCATTGTTCAGTGGTGAACTGGAATTTCATATAAATAAATAGATGTTTTTTTATTATGTTTTTGTTTTTTTTCTCCCCAACTCTTCCAAGCATTTCCTACTCATGGTACTGATTGTCTTGTTTTTAATTCCGTGATGTACTATGGGCTGCATGAAGCCAGATGTATGTCTCACTGTGTTCTAGCTCTCTGCTCGAGCCCAGCTTGGTGCTGTTGTAGAGAAGATTCTTAAAAAGGGGAAGAGTGTTCCAGATGAGCTGCTGGTTGACATCATCGTTGAAGCCATCAGGTGTGACTCTCACATGTCTTCTTCAGGAATTAGAAAATCTGATAATGTTAATCTTCTGCATGCTGGACTACAGTTTAGCTCTGGCACCTTGTTCTGTCTTTTGGGCTTGTGATGTGTTGAGGAGTTCAACTGCCCTGACAGCACATGTTCAGAGGATATGTGTATGCTGTGTTTACAGTACAATATGTCTCTTATGCTGGCAGTGATCCAGGTTCCTGAAGACTCCAAGTGAAAAAGAGAAAAAGAACGGAAAACTGCAATTCTTATCCCTTGATAAGCTTCCTATATTTTAGCACACATATCTCTGACAATATTGTTCTTTCCAGACATGTTCCTGCAGAAACAGGCTGGATTTTGGATGGCTTCCCAGTGGATATCAATCAAGCAAAGCTTCTGGAGAAAGCCCTGTCTGGGACTGATCCAGACAAAGCGGGTTCCAAAAAGAGTAAAGCCAAAAGCTCTTCGATTGTGGTTGACCCAAATGCTGCAAAAGAACCACCACGTCCTTCACCTGCTCTGGATCTGGCTCTGCTCCTCGAAGTGTCTGATGACCTGGTACTGGACCGTGCTGCAAAGAAGACATGTATGTAACTGGTTTAAGGAAACCATGGTTCATTGCACATTAATAAAGTTCATTTCATGGTTTAAGGAGAAGTCAGACAATGGTATTGGACAGGAGGTTCTTGAGAACACAAGTGTGTTCACCTGCCTCGTCTTCCATTGTACCATGAAGATTATAGCACTGATTCCCAATTGGCAGTTCCACAATTATGAATTTTTTTAAAGAAACAAAAGACTTGACAAGTGTTTTAGAACATGTTTTTAAAAAAAGCATGATCAAACACCCTTACCACTCCCTTAAGAGCTACACTAAAAATTACACATTACTATGAATTAAACTACATTATTATTAGTTTGCTTAGAATACAGAGAGCAAAATGTGCTTCTAGAAAGTGTTGCAGTGCAGGATGTACAACAATGATTGAGGACACTGTGAAGACCACTTATGGGATGAGATGAAAACTATTACATTTGTAAAACAGGTGAATTGCCCTTTGTTTAAAAAAGGACAGTATTTACATTTACTTACATGAGGCACTCTTGTCAGGTATTTACTGTACTTTTGCAGATACAGGAGGATCTGGGCCTGGTCAAGAGGTATACCACCCGTCCCAAGAAGGACCTTTAACTAATGTGGGAGTTAAAGACCAGTTCGTACCAATAAGAGATCTGTCTCTAGAAAAGCGACAAATACAGCACAGGTCAGTGTCAGCAGTAGTAATGCAGTTCTATTTAACCATTTCATGTTTTTTGCCTTTTCTGAGCCTACATTCTGCTAGTACCTCCACATTCTGTCATTAAGCAACTGACACTACTCAAAATAGAGTATAGATAAAAGAACATCTTGTGAATTTGTTGAAATGTTTTGGACTTTGTTCCAAATTGCATAATTTGAAATGTTTATTGAAACAACAGAAGAGTTTTCAATCTTAGAATTTCAGAAAAAAATCTGTTGGTAAAACATTAGTTTAAAATAATATCCGCTAATCTATCATAGGCATTCAAAACTAAAACCTGTTCTATATTTTCAGATATTATGTTTGAGGTTGTTCTCTTTTTGGAAAATAGAACTCTGCCCAGTCAGCTTCTTCTTAGGCAGAATGTCACATAAGGTTGCGATTTAGCAATATGACAGGATAACGTGTGTGATATCAGGTGATGTGTGGTGTGTTGTGAAGCACACGGCTACATTTAATGTTCCCATCAAATAATTCTATGCTGTTGTGTTTTTCTTTATCTATGTTCATTAAACAATCTGTAAGCAAAGTCAAGTAGCATTCAAAGTAAGTATGAGATAATGAACTGCTGACATGGGAATAAAGCCAAAATGGTACAAACATGAATATATGATGCAAATGTAGTCAAATACAGACCAAATGATTGAAGAACAGATAAATAAGTTATAAAAACTGAGTAGGCTAGTTACTAAACTTTGTGAAACTGAGCATGTGAAAGTGACAGCCATGCACAGTAAAGCTAAAAGGATGATTATCTTTGTCCATTTGTTCATGGTGTACTTGCTTCTGTCCTCCCTCCCTAGGATCACTGCTTTCCATGACACCTGGCCCAAGCTGGAGAAGTGGTTTGCCCTCCAACAGAACATCTTAGTGAAGGTGACCGCCGAGGAGGATGAAGAAACAGTCTTTAAAAAAGTGGAGTCTGTTTTATTGGAAGCCATGATCAGTAAGAACAAAAATGGTATGAGCACTGAACAATTAACAAGTAAAAGCTTTCTCTCTCCCCATAAAGGTCGCAGTAACTAAAATTCCAAGAATAACATGTCAAGAAAGATGGGGCCTTTTGTTTGTTTTACACTGATTTATAGTTATTATTCTGGTCTAATCACACAGTCCAGGATGATGTGAAACTACGAGGAAGGGAGTACTGGGGACTTTGCCTTCTAAACGGAACCTGAATCTGTCTTTGGGACCTCTAGGGAAGGAAATTGTGCAGGAAGATAAACCGTCAATAGAGAGCCCTGTCTCGGATGTGCCACCTCCTGCCCCTGTTCCAGAAACAAAACCCTCAGCTACTGTAGTCGCAACAGAAGGCATGGAAGTGAAACCCTCTAGATCTAAGTCTGCCACCAGATCCTCTAAAGGTCAGCCACGCTTATTCAGAATAATTAAAATTCACCATTGTTGCCTCACCATCCACTGTCTCAGTTCTGCAAAAATCACAATTTAACAGCACTGCTATGCTGGGGAGATGTACCAAGGCATAAATCAAAACTCTGTTTATTACATGAAAGAATATTGTCTGCTCTTTTTGTGATATGTAACTCAATATTAACTCAAAATAATCCAAATATTTTAAAATGCTGATTAAATGGACCATTGTTTTTCAGACCTTATCCTTGTTTATAATAGTACTGCAGTACACCAGGGAATGTTGCATTAGAAGTGTGTAAAACATAAATGTTGTTCACAAATACAAAATTATTAACTTGGCCACTGATACTATCTTATAAGATCGGGTCATGTTTTTTAGGGTTAGGGATTTAGTCATTTAATATGTTGGTGACTGCCATGTATCCATGTATCTCTATTTACAGCCTGTGGACTCACAGGACAACTTTTAGCACTATTTGTTTCAATGCTAAATTGACCCTGCTTTGACTAATTCAGGCTAAGCTTCCCAAACTAAGTTTAATAAAAAAGACACATTTATCCACTTTATTTAACATAGGTCTGAGCACCTACATTATCTCTTTCTAGGTAGAATGATCTTTTAAAACCTTGAAATAATTTACAAAAAATAAGGAGCTGTCTCGCTCGGCATGCTCTAACAAACAGATATTGCAAAGCATGTCCTGTTCCTCTCAGGTGGCAGGGATCAAGAGGACCGCTGATCTGACCCATGTCAGATCACAGGTCTGTTAGCCTAATGGTCACATACATTTTCATTTTATCACGCTGTAAAACCAGTAAGGGAGACCTACAGTCTAAACAATCTAAAATGTGTGGTTGTCAAATGCATTGTAAAGTAACTTGTAAGTGTGCATAAATCTACAGTAGATAAAAAATGATGGACTTTTTTAGGTTCCCGGAGTCGAAGCAGTTCTGCCAAGGACAGGAAGGGAAGGAAGGCCAGCATACCAGAGGGAAAGGAGGTTACCAAGAAGGTCTCCAAGTCAGGGTCAGGTACAGGTCCCAACTGTTCTATTCGTTCAATCAACAGAGTGATACTGTCCTACTTAATAAATGTTGTTTTTTTGGTGGCTAAAAATCTTACACTAAAGTTACTTCCATAAAAAGTGTAAAGGAAAACAAATGAGTGACATTTAAAATTATTGTGACAAAGTGATATTCACTGTGAAGTCACTGTTTTGCAATTAAATTGTATCTTTTAATGTGTCAAAAGTAGAATGAACAGTGATTCATTTGTTGATCACTTACAGTAGTTATTCTTCAGACTTTCACTTTTGTGAATTGATAGACATCATAACATCGGCTCTTTCAGAACAATGTGGAACGCTTTGACATGCAGGAAGGTATTGGACTTTGAAGATATTTTTTTTTTCAATTCTTCTTTGCTTTGAGGCTCTGCCCAGGGCAAGACCACAAGAGCATCTGAGTCTTCTACCTCTGAAATGGCCCCTCAGCCTGCCCCCACAGTATCCCCGTCTCCCAAGCCAGGCTCCGATAAGTGGGTCTATGTGGATGAGCTCCTTCCCAAGGTATGAATGCCAGGCCCAGCAGGCCCTGTGGCCAGCAGCCTGATTATGACAGCGTCCCGCAGGCTGCCTGATTCTAACCATTCATTGGCAATTGTCTTTGAGACATGGTGGGTGTAACAGCTTCCAAAGTGGTAAGACCAAAGGGTATACCTCGAGACAGGAGCAAAAGCTGTTATTATGTTTAATAGCACAAGCAAGTTCTCGTAATAACATTTTGCAGACTCTTGTGTAATATGCACAAAACCCTACACATTTTCACCTAAGGTCAACTCAAGTGCTTGGCCTCCCAGGTCTCTTGTCTCTTCAGTTTTCAGTTTCACTTTCTTTCATCTCACTACATTGGGGTCTTGACGGTCTCACCCGTCTCACTCGTCTTGCCGTCTTTGTTCTGCTTTGCTCTTTTCCCTCTGCTTCTCTCAGCTGCTTCCTTACTTTCCCTTTGGTCCCCCTTTTATCCTCCTGCTCGGCAGAAGACCTTGCCAGGACCAATCGGATTTCAAGAATTCCTGCAAACTGAAATGAATGTAACATTAAACCAGATAAAACGTGTTAGTTTTATCAAATAAAAGCTATTGGGGATTCTTTTACATAGGAAGCTAAGAAAGGTAGTAAAAGAGAAGAGGACATTCAGCCTGCCTGGATTCATTGGTTGCTAGTATCTACATGGTCCCAAGGTTTCATCCAGCTGTTTCTTGAAAGGAGCCAGGAAAACTTGTTCCAGACTCAATCCCTCAACCCCTTGTCCAAGAAGTGCCTCTTGTTTAATGCGTAGTGATTGTCCACTTACAGGCTTTCAAGTAGTGGACGCCTCTAGTGACTGTAAGAATTTTCTTTCTTCCCACTTCTGAAACTTATCAGTTTGGAAGATTGAGCAGCTAAGCAACTTTATTCTTAGCAGGTTTTCTAGGACTGATAGATGTCAACCAGGATGGAGGTGCCCATCCTGCCTATTTGATAATTCTTTCAAAGTCTTTTACCATTCAACTCCAAAAAGAGTATCTACAGAAGGTCTTATTGTAGTGACAATGCACTTTGAATAAAGTTAAACAGGGATCCTGCATAGATCAGGTTAGCTGCTTAGTTGCCATTTTGTTCTCTTGTTGATACTCTTCACGTGTTGTACCTCTACCTACTGTACTCTTGAGCAAAAACTGTTTGGACATACCTGTATACCTCTGAACTCAGTAAGCCTCATTCTATCGCAAATTATCATGAGGTGCTCACCTTTTATGGATAGTTAAATTATTTAAATAACCTGTTTTAAAAGAGTATTTTGCATGCAGCAAAAATGTCATACGGAAATGTTTCAGATAAGGAATGAATTAACACTTAAATTACACATTCATGTTTGGTGTGACTTTAAAGACCTATCCTGCTTCAGAGTTATTATGGTATCAGTTGGACTCCTCAGAAAAGACTTTAAAGACCTTTGCCTTTAAAAGTTTTTTTTTGCTGATCATCCCAAATTTGTATCAACTTATTCAGCATTGTATAAAATACTTTAATTACATCTGCAGATTTTATCTTGTTTTTGCCAGGTATTGCATTGACCCAAATAAAGAGCACTCATGGCGAAATGTCAACCACAGATCAGCTGATAGGAAGTCATTCTGAAGCTTATGCTTAATGTCCTCATATTCTTCACTAGCCTTTTTTGTGTTTGCACGTCTGCCTCTGACCAAAGAATCCAAGGTGATTTCTGATCAGTGCTTAGAAATCTAAATTTATAGTGTGTCTTTTATTGTGATTTTGCAATCTCAAGAGGCTCAGTAGTTTTAAGCACTGATGAGGGAGAGATATTTTTTAGAGCAATGCACATAAACTGTGAAACACCATGTACAAACTACAGCTGGCTTAAAATAATATTTAATGAAGTAGATAAAGGCATTTTTTAAATATTTTTGTTAAATAGCCTGGTTGAAATGGTACATTTAAATAATCAGTTCAATGAAGTGCTTTGTACACATTGTAGTGTAAGCAAACAAACAATTTGAAGTGGCTGTTTCATCTGTTTGTGGAATTAAAACAGATAACCAATGATGGTGGAAGTGAAGTAGCAATGTGTGCTTTTAGCTATGGTATCATTTCACATATACATGTAGGACTATTCCTCAGCTGTCTGTCTGTACCTCTAGAAGTGAGCACAAAAGATGTACCAGCTATCTGGTAACTTTAGTGGATCATACTTGTGGAGAATGTTCCTTTCTGGACCGCAGAAATTTCTTCTCCGAACGCACTGCTTCATTGTATGTTCTTTTCTGCTCATGTTCTGGATCGAAAGCTGCTGACACATGTTGGCATGTTGGATGAAAATTCTGAGTATTATCAGCTGTTTTAGTGAATATGTTTCTGTCACTTCACAGTACCTTTGATCCTGCTTCTCCAAACCAATATATTTGTTTTCTTACATGATTTACTTTTTCAACCATAAGGTTCATTTGTATATACAGTATGTTGAGCCGTGAGATGCTTAATTTAATCTTTTTACTTGAATTACATATTTGACTACATCTTTAGAATTTTTTTGTTTTGAGTAATCACAGGTGTTGAATTTAAGTAGTTTATTTTAAGCAAACAACAATAATGCTTATTATGGGAAAGATTGACAAGGCACTTACTCCTACTGCCTGTTCTTGGTCACCTATGAAGAGCCGTTAAAACAGCTGTTGGAGAGAGACTCTAATAAGAATTGTGGATATGGCTGAACCGTTCCGTTTACCAAATTTCTTGGCAACAGTATGACCTGAAGCAAGGTATTTGATCAGCAAGGTATTGAAACCAAGAATTATTGTATGTGTAGAAAACAGATTATATATCTGATTGGGTATAATCATGCACATGGAATGTGTTAAGGAATTTAATATACTTAATTACGAGGCCATCTTAAATGGAAGTTAAAACCTAAAGAAACCTCAGGATCAAAAATGGGAAATGCTTGTACTATAATAGCTTTTCTGGTACAATATTAGACTACTTAATTTTCCATCCGCTGTTGTTTTGTTCATTTCTAACTCCAAGAAGGGTAGTGACAACTGCGCAGCAGTCAAAACATTGCTCTACTGGTCCAAATGTCTGATTAGTACCATAGCTATTTGCAAGAGTAACACGCAAATTAGCAGTAGTTCACCAACTCACCTTTGTGCTTACTCTGCCTAATTCCCTATCCTTCATTCTGCTTAGTCAGTCCCTCAACCATTTATTTAGTCTCTTCGATCAAATATGCATGCTTGATTCAGTAACTTTAAAGTATGTTAAACAACTGTAGGTGTCATTGCTTTTCCAGTTAATGTATGGCAAATATTTCTAAAGAGCTGCAGCTCTTAAAAATACTTACTGTTCCTGTCAGGCTTGTGTGATATGTAACTTTGAAAAGTTATATATCATATGCTCCTTCCTGCATTTATTGCAGAACGGTCTAGATGCCAGTATTAGTTGGATAAAACTGCACTTATTCAGGAAGGGTTTTTAACTGCACTTATTCAGGAAGGGTATTTAAAGGTATTGTGTAATAATTCGGATCAGCTCAAAGAGAGTATATGTTCCAGGTCAATACTACTGTATGTCTGCAGAGTGCCAACTGACAGTCTAACAAACCCTTCTTATATTTGCCTCATACAAATAAAAGTATATATACAGTATGTTTTACAGTACACATGTTGTAGTATCTTTTTTTTATGTTACATTCCAATACTGTTGACATAAAGTATTTATAGATCTGTAACAGTAGTGGTGCTTCTGCTTTCATTGTACCCATATCCCCAGCTGTTAACTTTACAAGATTCTTGCTAAGCTGAACAGGTGAGAAATTGCAAGGTCTGAAACGGAATGTGATTTAAAGAGCCATACAGGACCTATAGAGCTGTGACTGCTGAAGCTCTGGGCTGCCCATTCTACTTTATAGTACTGTATGTTTTTCTCCAGTCCATTATTCATTCATTATTATTTCATACAGGAGATACCTGAATATCTCGTTCCGTACTGGGAGAATGTGTGTGACTCTTACATTACCAATGTCAAGATGGTAATGCGCAACCTGCGCTCTGAAGGCTATCTGATCATCCACCACTTATATGACATCAGGTACGAATTATGTGGGGTGTTTTGTCAGTTGATTTTTTTCAGCATAGCATGTCATAATTTTGACCTAACCGGCTTTTTTTGCATGTTCAGTGTTTTTCTACCTTCATGGTTTTTAACAAGAACAGAAAGGAAAATGAGACCTGCAGTGCCTGGTGACTTTTGAAGTGAAAATTTGTGCAGTTACAGTACCTGAGAGGTCTTTATTTTCAGACATACTGTACTGCTTATGCTGAAGACTTGCAGGGCAGCTGTAAATATTGTGGCTTGATTTTTCACTCCTGCGGGGGTAATAGTGAGAGCTGGGGTCAGTGTTTAAAAGGTAGGTGTTGCAGTGTGTGGGTAGCTTCCTCCTCATCTCTCTGAAGTCACTGTGGATGAAAGTTTATTTTCAGAACTTCTTGCTTTCTTTTGCAGCCACAGTTGTACAGTACAACACTGAGAAATTCTTAATTTATTGAATGAATTACGCTTCATGCCCATGTTTACAGAAAACCATGCACTGAACAATTATGTCACTCTGAAAAGGAACATTTGTATGTTGAATATGCATTCAGGCAGGCCCCTGGATTCGGTGACCTGAGGCACATACAATAGATCAAATGAGCAAAGCAGCTGCTACATCTGAAGCATTTGGCCTCTGGATTGGGGGGGTTGAACAGTCCTGAGCGTTGAGGGGTGTGACAACACAGCAAAAGACTCACTACGTGCTGTGGTACATTTTTCACATTTTTTCCCAACAATTTACTTGATCAGAACCACAGAGCCGCTCCAGCATAGGAGGGCATACAGACTCTGAGAAACACTAGCATGTCAGGTTCACATCTTGATGCCTGAAACACACAGTCCAGGCAGATAGGCAGCTAAACGACCAATCCCCTGGAGAAGGGAGTTGAAACACTCCTGAGGGCAGAGGCTGGAGTCTGCTGAACTGACTCATACAGGACTCACACGTTACATACTGTACGTGACAGGGTATAGAACTAGATCCCTAACTTTGCCTTCATTTCCATCTCTATGTATAACAATCCTAGAATTCTAAATAGTTTTTCCTTGTTTTTAGAATGCATTGTATGTACTTTCTGGCTGTTAGGTTTAAATCACCTAATATTATGGGGTTGCCTGTACCTATAATAACTTGTAACTCACCTGGCGCAGGGAGGAGTTCAAGGAGTTCCTCAGACGCCCTGACCACAAGCAGGAGTTTGTGTCCCAGTGGCAGCAGGACTACAATAGCATCCCTGATGACATGAGAGATGACGAGGAAACCAAGGCTGAACTCCACCAGCGGCTTGATGTGAGTGGCATTTGTCTTCTTCATGCATTAACAGCCTTGCTGCTTAAACTGAGCTCTTATCCAGTCTTTGGCAGGAAAAGAGTTGCATGGGGAGCATAGTGACTTCATTGCAATTACAGTAGCAATACTGGGACTGTGTTTTGTAAGAGTGCCATTTTCAGTGAGAGAGACAAGTAGGTACAGATAAGGGGCAATAAGGTTACACTATCCCATTCAGGGTAGCTTGACTTCTGTTTGCATCATTCTGTTTGCAAGTACTGTACATATACTGAATATGTGCCTTTCGTGCAGTAATCTTGATCTTGAACTACAGGTATCTGTTTTCTTGACTAGACCCAGTATTCCCCTCACTCAAACTGAATCTTAACCAGAGCATTTAGCCTAACCTCAGAACAAACACCTGCCTTTGACACAAACATTAATGCTAATTCCCCCCAGCAGATGGTGGCACTTTTATTCTATTAAATCCATGTGGTAAGCATGATATGCTCCTTCACATAAAGAGAAAGAGAGCGTAATTAATATAAAATAAAATATTGATTTAGGAGGATTTGTAGAATTGTGTTTTCACTTTGACACATTAGTTTTTTGTGTCGGTTAATAGCAAAAAATCTGAATTAAACACATTATAATTACACAATAAAATGTGAAAAAGTCCAAGGTGGGTAAATACATATGCTATGACAGTGTTTTGTGTCTGTGTATATTAACATCAGTAAGATCTTCTCTTTTGGTGCTTTCTGGCTGACATGAGAATTTAAGTCACAAGTGTAAAATTCTGTGGAACATTTGCATGATGTTAAGTCCACGTCACAAAAAGCCGCAAAGCTGCTTGTTCATCAATGTGGTTTTGTAGTTTCGGTATCTTTGAAGTGAACCTTAATAAAATGTCAAGAAATGTAGAAATTGTCGAAATTATGTCTGATAACCTTTTCAAAAGTCTGCATATGGCAACATCAGGTTCCCGAGAAAAATCTTCAGCAAAAATGAATGTGACATACAGTAGCCTTCAGTGATTTACAAAGACTAATGAGGAAAATACCAGGGTCCAAGCAGGGCGATCGCTCATTAGTCTTATGATTTTATCTAGACTGTAGATTAGCACAAACATCAGTCTAAGAGATTCATTCCCTGGTGCTCTGTACATCGTGTCTAACAGAAGCATAGACATCCCTCTGGTACTATAAATTAATGATTGAGTCCTTTAAGAGAGAATCATAATAAAATCCAGTGGCAGGGCCAGTGCGAAAGTAATAGATACTACTGCTGCTGTATAGTCACTGTTTTTTTTTAAGTTTTTCTAAAGCAAGTTTAAGCTTCATTCAAAAATCAATGATATTGATACTGAAATCTTTGTAAGCAGATCTGTTTTCACGAATTCATCCCACGGTGTACTGTCCCTGGGCCACTGCCTTGTGGGTCTCCTCCAGTCCGCAGCTGGAACTGGGCGCGGACCCCTGTTGCCTCGTGAGGCTGTAAGGCGCCCCTGTTTCTCAACCCCCACTGCATCTTCCTTCAGGATCTGCGGGAACGCTTGTGGGACATCTGTGACAACCGGAGGGAGGAGGCAATGCAGGAGAGAGGCAATGTCATAAGTGGTGGCTGGCTGGAAGATCACACCGCAATCCTCATTAACCACTTCTCCTCCTTGATGCAGGTATCAGATGTGCCGCAGGCCTGCAGGGCTGCTCTCTGTACATGCAGCAGGCATGCGACTCAGGAAAGAATGTAGAAATTGTGACTTTTATTTCCTGTGTTTTATACTGTGTTTTACTTACAACTTGAGAAGGAAAGCCCCCTGCATTTTTCATGGGGAGTAGGTTAAAAGTACTGTAGGTTTGGTGATGACAATGCAGGTGGTGAAACAATGTAGCGCCTTGTGGTTTTACAGGTGGTAAAGGTGTAACAAACCATTTTATCAAACAAATCATTTGTAATTTACAAACTTCTCAATCTTTGTGCTGAAGGAGTATTTTGACATGACTTTGTCAGTATCTGTCATGAGTCTGTATACCTGAGTAAAATCCTTGTGTGATCTCTGTCAAGTGATAAAGGGATTTAAATTGTTCATGGATGTGTCCAGCCTACTGTACCTCTCAGAGCAGAAGTAATTCTGATTGCTCATTGAACTCACAAATTAATATCTATAAGCGTTTTTATATTGATTCCAGATCGATTCCAGATCGAGTTCAGTACTGCTCTGCTGATACTTATAATGCACATTTTTTACTTATACTTATAATGCACATTTCCCACTTGTAGAAGTTTGTGCTTCTCTGAATTAAGTTTAATGTGCCAAATTCGCGCCCTCTTCCTCAATACTGGGTTTGTATTTCTTTTGCAGTTACTACCGTATTTGCTGTCCTGATGATTTTTTACCATCTGAAATTGTAAAAGATTTACTAACAACACCAGTATTGCTGTTGTTGATATATATTGATATAATATTGATACAGATCGGGAAAAGACACTATCCTAATACTCATTGCTGTGGAACTTCACTAATTACATCATTACCATTAGAGGCTTTTCTTTCCTGTATTCATGTTCTCCGTTTTCTACAAATTAGCTGCTTGTTTGCCTTCCTGAATACTTTTATTATTTTCTTCATACTGGATTTTAAACATGGTATTCTACAGTATGTAGAAGATCTATCAGCAGTCTTCAGGAAATTCAATGCTTCAGTGTTATCCAGGGCCCCTGTTGTTTGTTTAAAGAAATCTTATAGATTGTGCCCATTCTGAAATCCATGCTGGCTGACCTCACAGAGAATTTTCTCATTCTCCTCTTCTATTTCCACACCTTAACATGGAATAAATATAGGATTGGTTGGCATGTGATTGTTAAGTTTCAGTTTTGTTGGATTTCTGTCTAAGCATGATAGCTGTTTTCCTTTTCTTGGTATTGATTATTAAGCCAGCCAGTTGTTTATTATTGTTTATTAAACCAGTTTGTTATCTCCAGCAGCCGTATCACCCTGCAACTCACAACTGGCAACCCACTGAAGCTAAGCAGGTGTGAGCCTGGTCAATAGGGAGACCTCCAGGGAAAAACTAAGGCTGCTACTGGAAGAGGTGTTAGTGGGGGTGGTCACCCTGTGGTCTGTGTGGGTCTTACTATACCCAGTATAGTGACAGGGACACTATACTGTAAAAAGGCACCATTCTTCGGATGAGGTCCTGACTCTCTGTGGTCATTAAAAATAGCATGGTGTTTCTTTAAAAGAATATGGGTCTGGCATATTTTTCTTGCAATGTGATAGGCTAAGCTCCCCAAACTTTTTCCATAATGCCATTATGTAAAAGTTAAGGACATTATATTATTAAGTTTAATAAAAACATGAATAAAGCAAAGATCTAATACCACAACTACTACCACAGCTACTAATACTAGTGATGATGATGATGATGATGATGATAACACAGCCAGGAGGTGGCATTGAACTGAATGCAAATAGACATGCAGAGGATGAGCCAAGTTTCCTGTACAAATTGTACAAATTGCCTCTGTTGAGTGATAGGGCAGCCTATCTTTGTTGTAAGCTTTATTATCTTACCACAGAAATACAAATGATAAGCCCCAGTCCCTTTAAAATGCAACAACTTCACAAGTATGTTGTGATTGTGATTACACACCTTACAAATATCCTTTAGTTAGATGGGCCTCTGTTCAGGCCCAGCCGTAAGTGCAGTCCACTGTGCTCAAAGGAAAGCCTGTTGTACAAGAAACCACTTGTAGTATCCCACACAAGTTGATTCTAACAGACATTTGAACTCTACAGCGGTAGAAAAATTTGTAAACTCTACTTACAGGATTTTACATATCTACATTTTACATATCAATCTATTTGCATTAGTTTCGCCAATTGCCTGACCTGCTTATAATTGACTCGGTTTATAAATCTTATCTGCAGACAGGCAGCTGAGTGGCTTTGGGAAGTGACAATCAGTTTCACACTGTCTTTGTGAATGTGGTTATCTGTGTTTTCTCAGACAGATGTGATTCTAGCACCGTTTTGTCAGTTAAGCGGCTAAGCTGCTTTCACATCAGAAGTTTTAATAAATTTATGGTGAGAGCTGGCTTTGTTTCACCTTTGTCTGTGCCAGATGTGCCGTGGCCCTCGCTCGTTCCTAATCAAACAAATAATTGCACTAATCTCATAACTGATATAACGTCATGGCACACAAAGCCACCTGACTGCTTTGTCTTCCCTTATTATCAACAATTAAAAAACATAATGTCCCAAAAGTCCTGACTTGGTAGTTTTGATGTCTTGGTCTTGGACACTCTTTGTGCAGTTCTTCGTGTGGCTCTAATGGATGGCTCTTAACTGTCCTAGCTGCACATACTGTACTCTGAAGTTAATCAAACAAATGCAACTTTTAAAGCTCTAAATAAAACTAAGACCTTATAGGTGCTAATCAAAATAAAAGCAGGTTTGCAGCAAGCACATGATCCATTTGGAGAGATTTATGGCCATGTCTTATGAACATCAAGTGCATATTTTGATCAAACAAAATTATTTGTTGGCTTTTTTTTTCATTAAAGGAAGTGTTTCAACCATTCAGCCACATTCGAGGGGAAACCCAGCTACAAAAACTAGATTAATAAAGTACACAACTATGATTATTCTGTATTTTAGATTTAATGTTTATTTTATATTTAGTTCCATACATAATTTCTACAGTAGTTTTTTGTTCAAAAAACATTTTTTATTATACTGCAGTCAGTCTTAATGTGCAAGTGTGATCTGTCTTATTTTTACAAATATTGATGTTTCTCAATATTGATATATTGATGTTTCTCAAGACCTTGTTTAGGAAGAGACGAGTTTTCCCTTGCACTGAAAAACAAAGATCAAAGACTGTTGTGTAGTTAGAGTAAGTATTAATAACTAGAAATGGTGCTTTTTTCTAAAGAAACAAGGTGGAGACAATTTTTGGGTCTTGACTGGAGTTCTGTGTATACTGTGGACATCGTCCTTCGGATGAGACGTAAAACCGAGGTCCTGACTCTCTGTGGTCATTAAAAATCCCAGGGCGTTTCTCGAAAAGAGTAGGGGTGTAGCCCAGGCATCCTGGCCAAATTTCCCATTGGCCCATACCAATCATGGCCTCCTAATAATCCCCATCTATGAATTGGCTACATTACTCTGCTCTCCTCCCCACCGATAGCTGATGTGTGGTGAGCGTTCTGGCGCACTATGGCTGCTGTCGCATCATCTAGGTGGGGCTGCACATTGGTGGTGGTGGAGAGGAGTCCCCATTACCTGTAAAGCGCTTTGAGTGGAGTGTCCAGAAAAGCGCTATATAAGTGTAAGCAATTATTATTATTATTATCGTAAGCTGAATACATAATACATGCATAATGAATACATAATAATGAACACTGACTCAGAGACTGTAGCTTATAACTATAAGATATTTCATTGATAAACCTGATGGCAGGATGTATACTGCTTTGCTTTGTTCTGTAAAGCCTTCCTTCCTATTTTTTGGTTCTTAGACACAAAAAGTCCTGGGTCAGTTCGGAGAAACTCAAAGCATGAAAATAATTTAAATTGACTAGACTTCCAAACTATCATTGTGACCACTGCTTTCATCAGAAGATCTTGATTTTCTTTAACAATGTATTTGCACCTTAGAGACATTTTAGAAAAGACATGTATTCAAGAGCTCTAAACTGGTAGAATCCCAGCACTGTCAACGTATTTCCAAAGCTGCTTTTCAGTCATTGGCGTCATCTCCCTAACTTTCTGTCCAGTTGTTCCAGTAACAGATTAATAGATGGGTCCGTGTGAGATGCAGGCACTGGGATGGCCAGACCAGGTCTGGTCCCAGGTTGTGGAGATACCACCGTGATTCTCCTTGTTTTCCCCACAGGGTCTTTGTTCAGTTTCTCTTCCTTATCCTTTGTTTCTTGTCTGACAGTATGCCTGAAAGGCCAGGGCCTTTGGCACCAAACTGCAGGTTGGTTCTGTGGAGATAACTGGAGATGTGTTTCAGTTTACCAGTGGTGTGCATGATGATTCTTCCAGGTGGAAGTTGACCGATGCCAGGATACGCTACGTCTCCTGCGGGATTACTATAAAGGCATGGAAGGCGGCCTCCTTCCTGAAGCCAGCATGGACTTTGCCTGCATCCCCCTGGTAGACACTGTGGAGGAGGATCCAAAGCATGACACAGAAAGGACAATGAGGTTGGTGTAAAACACATTTGTACTTTCTTTAAGCAGCATCTACTGTCCTGTCCTGCAGTTTTTGGTCAGTTCAGATTACACATATTCCACAGGCAGTTTTGTTAATTTTCAAATGAATCCTGAGATATTGGGTAGATCAAAAAACTTGAGACTTTGAAGAGCGTCTTGATGAAATTCAGAATATGTTTCGGAGATTTCCTAATTTACCTGTATTTCTTATAGTAAATGCTTTTTTTGATTTTGTTTAAGTGATTACTTGGCTTGCTACCATACTGCTATAATGATTACATTCTCCAAAAATCATCTTGAAACTCCTATATACAATAGTTTCATTTAATGATTTCTATAGTTTCTCTGACAAATTAAGTCACAATTAAGTGGAAGGTGGTCTATCCTTCACTTGATTGGCTGTTTCATATGTGCTCTTTTCATTTTCATTACGGTAATACAATAGCTTTGAAAGTCACAAATCTTTGTTTCGCACAGAAAATTGACAGTTTCTTGAGTTCTATTCGGTCAGAACGCTTAAGGGGGTCCCTTTCTCTGTGTTTCTGTTGTTTTTACTCTACGGTCCAGTGCATCTGGCTTGGCCAACTCTGAAAGGCAAGTGAAGAGCGCCGGGCAGAAGGAAAATGAGGCGGAAGATAAGAAGCCCAAAACTGAAAAGTAAGATGTTTTCGCAGTTTCATGTGCTTTACAGTTCATCGTCAGAGGGCATTTCCAAACAGCGCCCCTGATACCATGGCTGTAAAGAATTAAAAACAAGACAAAGGAGACTAATAGGTGTGACACACCGCAGCCTTGAATCAGCTTTCAGTTCGCACCTTGGAACTTGATGAAAAACAGGAACTGCAGTAAATGAATCATTTCACTGAGTAAAGCTATGAAGTTTTGAGACATTATCTGGAAATTATTTGGGGTTGGAAATTTCACGATGGAGCAAAAAATCTCAGAAGTGCTATGAATCATCAAAATTGATAGAATTGAAAGTCATCTTTAGGGATATTATAGGACCTTTTACTGAAACAACACTAAACTATGTATTGACATCTATGCATTTTGAATAAGGAGGGGTAGATTAATAGTATTTCTATATCAACAAAAGCTCAGTAGGGCTGTAATGGTTTTGGACAAGAATGAAGGCCCACGGTTTAAAACCTGGTTTGTATGTGTACTATTGTACCTTTGAGAAATGTAATAAGTAGATGAACAGATTTCTAGACTGTCACTGTTGAAGGGAAATTGTTTTCATTTGACTAATTTGGTGAAAGAATAAAACGTATAGAGTCTTAGAAGGTACTCTATTGTACTGAAGAAGTTTGTAGTTATCTGGTTTTGCCCATTTTCTCTTTTAGTGCAGAATCTTTTAAAAATTGTGTTTCTCAATGTACAGAATACCCTTGATATCTAGAAGGCCTCTGTCTTCTGACCCCAGTGGAACAAAGCTGAAGACTGGATTAGCAGACCTCAAATCAAAGGATGAGCAACTGGTGATGGATATATGGCAGGCAGCCTGGACAGCCATTTCCAATATGGTGAGCCACCAAAGGAATGCACACTGGAAATATTTCCTGCAGGATTTTTCAAATATAGAATGAAGGAATGAAGGAATGAAGGAATTCATTTGGCTCACAAATCTGTGCAGTTTACTGTTACCAGAAGATTGAAACTGAATTAGGACAGCACTTCCCACAAGCAGTGAATCCCTCCAGTTCAAGACACTGAATAGCTGGAGATCACCATTTTTAATAGGTGTGCCTGCAGCTGTGAGCTTCAAATGGGCTGACTGACATGAGCTCATACAGTGTCTGGCACTTCACTGAGTTCCATTGTGTTTGCACAAGCTGATGCCTTTCTTTGAAAAACATTTAATCTATTGGTATGTTTTATGTTAATGATCTCTCTGCCTTCTTTTCCTGCGGCATGTACAGTAGCATCAGTTGCATTGCCATTCATAATGCTTGCATTTTAGATAGCATCAGTACAGTATATAGGAAATCATATTGCATCTTGCTTCACTACTTACTGTATAGTGAGGCCTTAGATTAATGGCACAATCTACATGCTATTTGGCCACTTAATTCTGTGATATGATATCATTTTTATATGGCTATAGAACTGCATGAATAACTATTAAATTATTTGGGTTGAATTTCCCGCATAGAGTTAATAATGACTGGAGGAGAGTTTCTGTTTCTGTTGATTCTCCTTTTTGTTAAATGTCAGGCTGTTCAATTAAGAAACAGGACAGGATTTAATACAGTACAGTATTTGCATTTTGAAACTGATCGGGATCAACAAATAAAACCTGAAAGAATGGAGTGTTGAAGTCGCCTTTGCTTTACAACAGGAAACACTTTCTTTCTTGCCACTGTAATGATTAGTCAGTGGATAATAAAAACATAATTAGTATTGTGTACAATAGTATTGTGTTATTAACGGAAACTGCCCTTTCAAGAGCCAAAGGACTAAACATATAATAAATTAAAATCACTAATAGCAATTCAGAAACAACTTCTCTTCTGTAACACATTTGCAGAACAAAATGCTGTGTTGATGAATACTTTTATAAAAAAATATTATTAATAATTTGTTTTAAAAAAACATCCATTTTCTAACTACTTTATTCAACACAGAGTTACAAGGGAGTTGGAAACTAACCCACCAAGCAACAGGCTCAAGGCAGGATACACTATGTCCTGGATGGGAAGCCAGTCCATCACTGGGCGCACACGCGCACACGCACGCACGCTCGCTCGCTCACTCACTCACTCCAGGGCCAATTTTCCCAGCAGCCAAATATCCAACCAGTATATTTTTGGACTGTGGGAGAAAACTGGAGCACCCAGAGGAAACCCACGCGAACATGGGACAAACATCCAAATTCCACAAAGGTAGCACCCCAGGGTCTAAACCAATGCTGTGAGGCAGCCAAGCTAACCACTGTGCCACCATAGCACCCTAGTTTTAAAATTCTAATTATTCAGAGTAACAAATATTTCCAACTAAGTAACCTGAAGTCTATAAAAAGACTTTTCTGGGTCACATAGTCAAAGGCGGTGAAAAAGGCCTGGGTTTGGGTCACACAGATGCACGCTCTGATGTTTGTGGGTTTGTTTCCAGATGTCTGCAGAGATCCAGCAAAAGGAGGCAGAGGAGGAAGAGGAGCGCCTTCGGAGTGCTGAGAGAGAACAACACAGAGCCTCGCAGGTCTCCGCCATGCTCAGTGCTGGGCAGGAGAAGAAGAAAAGCCCAAAGAAAAAAGGTACAGACCTGTTAGGGTCAGCTGGGAGAGACCTGCCTAGCACTCAGGGTGCAAGGCAGCAGTGTGGCACAGCAGTCAGCATCCTGGACTCTGTACCTGGGAGGTTGTGGGTTCCAATCCCAGGTGAGACACTGCTATCGTACCCTTGAGCAAGGTGTTCCAGTTGTACAACTGGGTGCAAATGTAGGTTGCTTTGGATAAAGGCATCAGCCTAGTCTAAGGCTGACGAGTGCTGTTTGTGCTTTGTGGGGTGTGGAGCCTGCTGCCACAGCCAGGGTAAGGGTTAGTAGGCATGTAACACATCATTGTTTCCAGGCAATTTCCAGGTTCAAATGTGACACACTGTGCACTGTGTCCAGCTCTAATAAAACATAACAGGCTTGGGTGCAAAAAATGTAATTCCTGTTCACTGCCAACCTAATTTTATAAACTTCTGTTTATTTAATTAATACTTTACAAAGAGCTTGTTGGATGGAGTTAGGTTTTGATTTAGCCTTCCAAAACAGGTTGTATTTTATAAGAAAATCAGTCCTTGTTATAGCTGTCGTAGGAAAGACTATTTTGGCAGTTTACTTTTAAGCAGATCTATATAATCTTCTTGTATATTAATTTTGGATCACCCACAAACAGAAGTCCCCTGAATTTTCTCATACTTTCTTCACACACAATATCACCCATTAAGTCAAATATTCTTAAACTGTGACTTCATTTCTCAGATCTGGATAATGAGTTAATAACATAAATTATTTTAAGCAATCCAACCAAAAACAGGATTTGTTATACTGGATACAGTGAATATAGTGTTCCCAATGTTCCAGCTTGTACAGCAATGGATTGCTTTCACATTATAGCCTTTCTCTTAAGCTCTTACAGCCTTTTCACACAGAAACAGATTGCTTAGCAAGGCTATTATAATGTATAATTAACGCATAACACTGACAAAATACGTGCATTCGACCTTTGAATTAGAGCCCAAGAAGACTCTGACATCGTAACTGCAAAGGTTTAAATGTCATTCTCGGTGTACTGTATTTATTCACGCCGCTGTTAAAGAGAACCCAGTAAGATGTACAGTACATCAGAGATTAACTTGTTGCAGGGGCTCCTTCGCCAGTCCCACAGCACACCCCTCCTCCAGCACCCGAGGAAGATGCTGGAGAGCTGAGGAAGAGGGCAGTGAAACTCAGGATCAGACAGGAGTACCGTGCAGCACTGGAGCACGAAGGTAACCTGAACTAAGTCTCCTGCCCGTCAGCTCCAGCTGTTTCCAACAGGGTGCAGGAGAACAATCCTAGACAGGAGTCTCCATTTCCCTGCTCCTTGGAAAACACAGAAACAGAATCTTCATAGGCTCAGTTTATCCACCTCTATTATATACTGTAGCTAAATTAAGAAGAAATGATTGTTTCTCCTGCTAAAACATGTGAAACAGTGCTATAATATTGAAACCAACCAGCAAACTAGGCTTTTTTTCTGAGTCAAATTCAAGTTTTGGCAAAATCTCAATTTTCATTCATTTTATTGTTTTCCTTCAACTGTTACTAGTTACTGTACATATTGAATGTGGAGGACTTTGTAGAGTGCCGCTTTGCATTGTTCTTTTTTGTTTGTTTTAAATAACATTTAAACTGTTGTATCTGCATCCTGAAAAATTCTGTGATGTTTTGCAGCCTTTTTTTGCACTTTATACCCAACAACAGCTTAACATGAGTGCAGTAATAAAATAACTAAAATGTTTTCAACTAAAATAAAATAACCCTATGTATGTTTGCTGCTCCAGCAGACAGATAAGAAAATTATTGGTGGTGTATTGTGGAAAATGTAGTTCATTTAACAAAAAAACATATTGTTTTGTTAAATGGTATCACTTTTCATACAGTATGCTGCACTAGTAAGTCCTTTTGCGTCTGTCGAATATTGTAGCACCATATAGTGCTTCTGGCACTGAGGTGTCTTTTAGTAATAAACCTATTAATTGTATATAGCACATTTCCTAACACGTATGCAAGTGCTCTGTCCAGTCCCACTAAATAGACAAAGAAATCAACAGAGACATGTCAGATTACTTAAAACACCATTATGTTCATCTTTTGGGGAGGGTCTCTAAGCAAATTTTACAGTTTTCTCCAAATGAAGCACTTCTTCATTACAGATTATGCAAAGCATAATTAATTTTAAAATGGAGAAATGGCTCATTAACAGTTTCACTGAGCATACTGTTGTTAAAACACGTTTCACTTTTAAAGTGATTTTTAGGATATTTACTATGAGACCACTTGAATATCAAGAGGCGAATACCACAGCTGGCTAAGGAGATGCGTTCCAGCGCAAAAAAAACGTGATACCTTTCTCTTGGCAGAGTCTGCGGTGAAAGTGAGGCTTGAACAGATAAAATCGAAGTCTTTAGCTGTTGTTCGGGACTTGCTACAGAAGGCAGACAATGCTTACAAGGAAATGGAGGAGTGGCTTGGAGCAAGGTTCTTGGCAGAAATGACAAGGTAAACTCACCACCACAACAGAATGAGTAATGTACACTGTCATGGAGCTCAGTGACACTGACAGATTTTTCTTTTTTAGCTTTTTTTCATCTAGCCTTTTCTGACTCCAGGAAAGCTCCAGTTGATTTTCACAACTGCATTTTAATTGCATTCCCCTTTTCAGTCCCAGTGTTTTCTCTCTCTAGGTTTTCATGTTTATTAACTTATATAATTGTTCTGAAATCACACTCTTTGCCATTTGAAATGACCAGTTCTTAATCCCTAACTCAGAGCAGCAGTCTCTTTGGTCTAGCAGTGATAGAGAGTCCGTGATTCCTTCTGGGCCTGTCAGGCCATGTGCTTCTTATTTACACAGTAATCGATCAATAGTGTGTCTCCAATAGGAGAATCTGTAGCAGCTGGCTACTATCACAGCCCCGTCTCATACCAGACATTTCTGGGTTCAACAGAACAAAACTAAAACTGAAACCTTTTGATGCCAACAGTATCGATCGTCTCACGGATGTGGCTCGCCATCACATCGAGTCGTCAGCTCAGATCGGGAACGAGCTGGTGCTTTCCTGTTCCGACTTCTTCGTTGACGGGGACTTGAAAGTGGTGCCCAGCCCAGAGCCGGCCCCACGGCCCCCTCCACTGGAGACACCCATGAACAGCACCCTGACCATCGCGCAGCTCCACACCTTCCACTGCCAGCTCTGTACAGCTGCACCAGCAGGTCAGGATCCCATTTCCATTCTTCAGAGCCAGACCTGAAGCTGTTACTTCTGAAGCCCAGGAAGTGTTTGTTTTCACTCTTTAGTGCACCAGCACTATCGGCCGGCGTCATCACTGATGGCACTTTTATCACGAGATGCGGCATTGCTCAGGCTTTATCTGCACTGACGTTTCCAGGTTATTGGGTAACAAGCTTTTTTTTTTTATTTTTGTCTGCTTCACTTACAACAGCAATTATCTGAATGTGTGTGTAATTCACTGATTAACTCTAAAACTCTAAATTTCATGCTTCTTTCTCGTGCAATCCCTGCTTGTATCAGTTAAAGATCCTTCCAAATAGTAGTTCTCTTCTCTGCATGTCTTATCTCCTCCTACGTCCCCTCTCATCCTTACTGCTCCTCCTGAGCTTGCAGTCTAGGTCTTCTCCTCTGCCAAATGTCCTGTACCATTCCCCCTCGTTCCCTCATTCCCATCTCCTCCGCTGTTTCCCTCTGGAGCGCGAGGAGGGCTCCCTGCCTCGCCACCTTCTGATGCCTCCTAGAATGTCAGAAGCCCTCAGGCTGCAGCTGGAGGTCCCATCCCCAGCCTGTGCTGCCTCTTGCCCCATGACTATTGTACAGTATTGCCATGCACTGCTGCTGTTCCGTTTCGCTGCGCACCAGTCGCTTCATGTCACTCTCCAATTCACGGCCTGCTCCTGTATTCGTCTGCGCGCCACATTTTCCCATTCATGAGACTGACGTGGACTTTTAACGCTTGTCTTTTTTGAATGTTTTTAAAGCATGTGTTAAAAAACGACGAGATATTAGGACTGCAAAACAGACAAAAATGGGAACCCACACCAGAGAAAGAGGGAAGGAAAGAGATCTGAGTTTGCAAGTTCAGAAAAATGCAAAAAGGCATTTCTCCATCCTGTTGAAAGCATTAGAAACATGTCGCCTTCCTTATTTCCATTAGAATCAGCTCTTTCCATTTGGCAAACAGATACAGCTAAGTGTTCTTTAAGGGTATCCCAGTCTCTACCCAGGCTGCCCATTTGTTACATGCAACACTTTACTTAAGCCATGGGAAAACATGGGATTTGACCCCACAGCCTTCTGGTAAGGGGTTCACTGCCTTAACCACTACCCCACACTGATACAGACTGCCAGGGACTGACTGACACAAAAGTACATTACTCTCTCTCCAATGTCAGTATTGAGTTTGGAATGATTGGGCGCATTTGAAATTTTGTTATTTTTATAGCTCTTGTTTGTGGCTATGAAACCTAGCCAGGGAAGTAATATACATACTGTATACTGTAAAAGAGATGGTTTTGTGGTTTAGCACAGGCTATGCTGAGTGAAGTTCTGATTGTCTATTTGACACTCTGTACAGAGGTGACCAAACGAAGGCGCTCAATGCAAAAAGAAACAAAATAGAAAATGATAAAGAATGTGAAAGGTTGGTGTGTGTTTACAATCACAGACTTTGTATTCATACCCTCTTAGAAACTCACTTGGCAAGTAAGATCAGTGGATAAAGTCGTAGTCTCTGGTGTTTTCCTTCATTTCACTTGTGAAAGACATGTAACAACATGAGGAAAATATTTCAGATATCTAAACGGTTATTTCCTGCATGATTTGGCATTAGCCATTTCTAACAACCAAGTAATCAGAAATTAGATGCATTTTAGCCTGATCAGATTTAAACCGTGGAATACCCCCAGTTCTTTTCAGAACAATAAATCATTTATGGTATTCATTGTAAATGAAGAAGAAGAGTGACAGACCAGCCATACTAGTTTACAAATAAAGATATCTGTTGTGAAGGTGATGGTGATGCCAACAATTATATGTATTCTTATTGTGGCATTGCTTCTTGTTCTCATTAATATGATTTTAATTTCTGTTCTGTTTTTGTCTGTGTTTCATTGCCAGGTGTTCTGTCAAGTAGGGATTTTTTTGACATGCTGCAAGATTTAACATCTTTGAAGCTGGGAAGTGACCTTCTTCCTGACCCCTGGCTGCAGCTCTCAGGTGCCCAGGTACTCAGTTACCTGCCATGTAATACTGCTCTATTCTCACCCTGTGCTTGGGGCTCATGTTGTGACTCATACAATACTCGTATGGCTGAACATTTCTCTGCTTTTACAGATACAGGAGCTAACATCCCTACTGACCCTGGACTCGGAGCTCATTGACTGGCGCAAATTCCTGCTCCTGGCTGCTCAGCCATGGCCTTACCCTTCACAGGGAGATCTGCTCCACACGCTGGCCAGGTTCAAAGCCCTCGATCCTGACTCCACAGGGTTTATAACAGAAGAGCAATTTGACCAGGCAAGGTCCTCCTCCATACATCAACTAAAAGGCTATTCTGGTCTAAACTGAAATCTGTCCCTGGACCTCCAGACACAGTATGTTGGAGGATTTATGAGAATAGCCTATACAGTAGATATCTTATAGGGTCCTACAATTAGAACATTTCTAACCTTTAGGTCATTTTCAAGCGTATCCATTGAAGGGACAAGGCAGACAGTAATCTGGCTATTAACATATGGTCAAAGGTTTGATTTAAACTTGTCCTTTGTGTACTATTCAAGTCACTGGTGATATTTACGCCTCCCTTCCTCCTTTAGACTTTTAAACTTTCAGGAGGCACTCTGTGCACTACTGCCTGTGCTGTCGCTATCACCTCCCATTTCATTACTGTGAACTACAGTCCCATGAGACTGTCAATGACTGGTGACACACATGAGCTTTCCCGCCTCTTCCCTTCCTTTTAATTGATTAAGGTTTAATCCTGCAGTGTGGTTTACAGACATTATCATGAAAATGTTTTTACCCACAAGTCACCCTTTTTCCCAATTTTTATATGACTTCCAAAAATACATCGTTGAGCTCATAAAAAAATGGGGAAAAGTAAAATAAAATATTGGTATTGTGCTGTAGAATTGCTAGGGTGAATGCACAGCTATATTAGAAATGAATTATTCAAATTACAATAAAAAAGAGATTTTGAAACTTAAGCACCAGTAAACTGATAAACTGAAATAATTTCTATGTTTTATGTCATTTTTTCAGAGATAATTAATTTTCATATCTTTGACAATAGACAAGTAATCTTTCCTGTCTTGGTATCATCCAGTAAGATTTGGCTAAGCGAGCCCTGATTGCGATCACTTGTGTGTGAGTACATGTATTTATTCTTTTTCGTATCTTTCTATTACAGACTGAGCTGTGGTTTGACAGTCAAACTGAACTTCCTGTGCCCGAGGACCCAACAGAACCCTTGCCTTTCAACAGAATGGCCAATCTGAAAAAGGTCTCGTCATTGATACTTTGTAGAGATCTTTTTCTTATACCGTTTGTCTGGTATAAAATGAAGATGTTTGTCTAATATATGCACACAGGCTACATCTTGTCTCATTGGCACAATTAGGGCTATCTCCAGATTCCTTAATATATTAGCCTTCAGTGCTTGGCATGCTTAGCACAGATCAGTAACCTTTTTTATATCATGTTATTTCAGAAGCAGATCTGAAAGGCTAAAAAGGAAGTGATATTAAACACTAGGGTTGTATAGTCACTCCTAAATTTTTGATTAATAAGATTTTTGATGGCATTCACAACTCCAGTTTTTTTTTATATATATATTCTCATTTCCTCTAATACCAAGAAAAAGCAGAAAGAGAAATATAGGTGGGTTTTTCTTAAATGACAAAAGTTCCTAATTACAACTGAAGAGAACAGCGTCCAGTTACTGTTTAGTGACCTTCAGTGTCTGGTGGTACCAGACCTGGCACAGACACAGTGTCCTGGGGGGGTGTACTAGAAGGACCGCCTTGCTGGATGTGTTTGTAATGCTCTGCTCGTCTGCTTGCAGTTTTTCTTCGTGCTGTTTGCAGATCGCCAGGCCCCAGTCGCAAGGCTGGACTACGTGAACATGCTGCTGTACTTTGCGTCACACCCAGACCCAGTTCAGGGGGTTCACCGCGCCATGAGCATTGCCACTGGAGAGCGGATCTCCCAGAGGAAGACCAGCTCCAGGCTCTTGCAGGTAGTACAGTACAGAGGGGCACAAAAGAAAAATATTGAAAATTCTTTGGGATTCTAGGAACTGTATCTATCCTCTAAAGCTAGCAGATGTCAGGCAATATTTCGAATACATTTTCCTCACCCTAGAGATGGGAATTTACTTGGACTTCTCTGGTCTTTCTGTTACTTTACATTCTCCGACCAGTGGCAATGCCAACCAAGTAAGCCATTAATGCTCAACATGTGTGGCTGACACAAGGTGGCAATAAAGCTGCCCCTCACAACCCCTCCTGCCCAGGGTGGGGGCAAAAGCTTTTACATGCCAGAAGAACAGGGAGCAGCTGAAGAGCAGCAGATTAATTTAGCCTAGTAGCAGAATGGGGGGAGTAATAGTTTAAGGTAGATTTAAAATTATTTTCTTTATCATTCATTAGCCGTTGTAGAAAGCTGAAATAAAATGCATCATTTGGAGATCTGATGGAAAAAAAAAGCCCTCATTGATTTGCTTAGTCTTGAAGCACTGTGCCTGCTTGAGCTACCTTTTCAGTGGGGAGCTGGGCCAGTTTGGAAGAGGCCTGAAAGCCAGGGAGTCAGTTCGGTTCCACAGAGGCTTTGCTTTGCCTACAGTCAGTGCTTCAGATCGATGAAGACGTGGACATCAAGGTGCCAGAGGCTGGGACAGAGGAGGACCCAGGGGCTGAGGAAGTAGGGGGAGTGACCGTCACCGCTCTGCTGAGGGTGGTGTGTCACGGCGGTGTCATGATGGAAAATCAGAACAGATTTCGCTCTCATGGGAAGACAAAGGAGGAGTATAAAGAGGTACACTTGATTAGAAATCTTAGAACTTCTAATCAATCCCAAAAGCAAAGAACCACAGACATTGGTCTGATCATCGATCAAACATGATCATGTTATTAATTTTTTTTCTTATTTTCTAAGAAAACCCCAACCATGTTAGGACACAGCCTGATAGAGCCATCTTATATAGGAACCAACACCATAATAGTTATAATCATGGTGCTTTATGAGTCCTCAAGTCCTCAAGGCTGGTCTGTTTTCGCATGCAGCTGCTTGCAAGTGATGGTAGATATAACTGCCACTATTCCAGACAACTACATCAAGAAATGGAGAAAGGTTGAACTGTGCACCATATTAAACTCACAGCAAAAAGCATAACCAGTGAAAGTTCCACGCATGCAAACTTAACATCTTTCATATAAACATGTCCCCCACAGAAATAAATCAAGAGTGAAGAAAGTGTTTTGAGTAAAGTTGTGAATTCTGTAGCCTAGGTAGATTGCAAGACAGGATTTGCCCTCCTAGAGCAAGTGAAACTTTCTATCAATTACTGTCCCCATGTTTTCAATAAGGTTTGTCTTTCATGTGATCCCATCTCCATGCTTGCATGACATATACAGTATATATATATAATATAGTGTTTAAAATGTGTCTATAAGCTCATAAGCTCTTTGGAAGGAGTTCTTTATAAGCTCTTTTCTTGATCTTGTGAACAGGATTTCTGTAGGATCTACAAGGAGCTGGGATATGAGGACCAGGACAAAATCCCTTTTCAAGTCCTTTCTCAGCACCCATTCATGCTAGACCTGATCGAGAACAGCATCCAGTATAAACTCGTTGTGAGTACACCTCCTTTAACAAGCTGTGCGTTATGTTATTGTTACACAAATCCACATTCTACCTTAGTTGTTCAACCAGTAAAGGTACTCAGATTGACCTTTATGATCCCAGTCATAAAGGGATCAGGCTGTCATTTCCCAAGCCAGATGTCAGCCAGGGCTCTGTCAGCCCTCACTCAGCCCTGTGGCCCCCCTCCAGTCAGACTGACCCTCCGGTGCAGGGCTAAGGAACTTGTGATGTGCCTCCTGTTTTAAATGCACTCTCATGTGCTGTAGTTTCTACTTCTGTCCCATTTTCTATGCTATTCAAAGCAAAAACATTTCATGTCATTTACAGAAAACAAACTCCTATTTTATCTTTATAAGAGGTTAACAGCTGAGCTGGTTTTTAACACATTTCTTTAAAAGTGATTTGATCAATGTTTTCTTACAACTGTTTTAGGCTTATAAAAGCAATGCACTGTTTCAGTACTGTTTAAGCTCTTATACAGGTGCAAAAGAGAGAAAAGTTATAAATAGCTCTCTATAAACCTGACTTCTCAGAAGGCTGGCCACTCTAAAAGTGATTGAGAGCATCCACAGGCACGGAACAGTCTTTCACGCCTGGCGCTGTGCACCTGACTGCCCCTGCTTCCTTGGGTTTTAAAAGACGTTCATAAGAGAAGTGCAGATGTGAGCCAGAGGTGCGTCTTGTGGGCAGTGGTCTGCACGCACTCCATGACAGCAGTTTTCGAGCTCCTCTTTAGCAGCAGAGGAGGAGAAAACTAGAGCAAATCAGTCAAGACTTCATGAACAGCAGCAGCGAAAAAGAAAGAAAAAAAATTCCCAGTTTGTGCAGCTGAGCAGATAAAAAGAAAATAATGTAAAACCACACCGATGTTGTTTTGAGATCTGCAGCAAGATAGGGAAATCAAATGATCATGTGCGGTTTTAGGGTTCAGAAACTGCACACATGCCTCTCTCGCGCTGTAGTGCATGTAGCACTTCAGAAGAATATAACAACACAGTAACCTTTCACAACAGCATTTTTACATCATCCTTCACAGTGCTGTGTTCAAAGCACTGCCCCTCTCCCAAAGGCAGACATTACTAATTACTACCTGACCAGACCAGGCATTGTGTGTAGTCTGTAGTGAGATGACAGGGCCACAGAAGATGTTAGGGCAGTCACATGTTTTTTTCCCATGCTTTTTTTTTTCTCTCTGCATGTCTTTCTTGTTCTTTGCTGAACCACAGCTCCCTCCCACAACTGCAGTCTAGAACGAACACCCCCACACTTTTATCCTCCACTCACAGGCTGAGAACAACTGAAAAAAAACGTCTTCGGCTTTGTTTCTTTTTTTTTTTGTCAAGGGGATTTTGAAATCGCATATAGAGAGATGGCAGTTACTAAGGCGGGAATTGTTTTAAATCAGTGGTAAATGATCTTACTGGAAAACAAATTATGTCAGGTTTATTAAACAGAATGAATTGACTGGAAGGGGAAAAAAAGCTGAAACCTTAATTAATGGAGAAAGGGTCATAACCCTTGTTGTGGTCATAAACAAACTGAAACACGTGGTATCGTAACAGGAATAAGAGATATCCCAGCCTCATTTAATTTCAGACACAGGAAATGTTTTTGTATAACTAGTGCAGTACCTTTTAATGTAAAAGCAGTTGTGATGCACAAGTAAAAGTATGAAAGGGAACATTACAGGATATTTACAGTATAAGCAGCAGAAGAATCCCCGATAGAAAGACGACTGCTGTTCACCAGCTGTGCTGGCAGGGGAATTATAAATTTCTAATGAACAATAAATCAGCAGAGAAGCTTCATGTGTTAGTGATGTCTGTAATTTAGTGTGAATGGTAACTTTTAGGTTATGATTCATGATTTGTTAAATCACAATGCTCCCACATTCATTGGTTTCCTTCAACTGTGACGAAAGGTCTTTGATCAGACGTATGTGATTTTGTTTCAGTCTCTAATTAATATTAAATCAGACATGCAGTGCGCCTGAACTCCTTGGTTTTGCCAGCTTCAGGTCTTTTTAATGTTTTCCTGTTATGACAACAGGACCAGGGGACATAACTCAACCTAGCGGAGACAGAAGTAATATTCTCAGCTCTTGGTGGAACTTTCAACAATTGATCTGGGTAATGAAAGCATTATGGTTAGGTGGACATTATATGGCCCAGAGGTCTGTAAGGAGGTTAAACCAGTGAAAGTAAAATGTGCAATTATGTGTTATACCTGACTTGAGAATAGCCGATACTGACACCCTAAGCAAAATATGAGCTACTAAAATTCTAGGCATTAATACAAATTAATAAATACATTCTCTGATTGTTCTGAAGCTCCATGAAGATGTGTTACAAGCACAATGTGGATCTGTATAGCACTTCAGGTAGTGACCTGTATGAAAGCTTGCTGTTTTGACAAACAACCTGACTTGCATTTTTTTTCCCCATTAACATAAACCCTTGCACTGAAACTGTCTCTTTCAGTTATAATGTCATCTGCCTAAGTACAGATCGCTCAGACCCTTGCACGTACTGGTACAATGTAGCGTGCTATATCGGAAATGTGTTTAAAACAACGGGGAGTTGGGGCATGGCTGGATTGCTGAAGGTGTGTCCATGGACTGCAGGTTCAAGCCCAGGCAGCAATCAGGACATGACCACAACTGCGATTTGCCTGGGTGTCCTCGGCTCACAGCTTGGCCCTGGGCGACCTGTGAACGCGTCAGCACTGAGAGACACATCTGCTTCTTCAATCTATGGAGCTCATGTGTCAGATAGCAAATGGTGAATGGCTCTGACAGCTGGCCACACTGGAGCAGTCCAGGCACAAGTCCTTATAGTGTTGTCCAGTTTCCTTTGCTCAGGAAATTGAGTGAAGAGGCAATTCCAGATTCAGAAGGTGGAAAAGAAGTCAATGATTCACATATTTAAACAAACGCAATACAACAAACACTGATGTGCCCAGCAGAACATGAATACACACTACCACTAAACCGCGTGTTTGAAACAGCACATTATACTGTATGTCAAAGATTATACATCTGGTACAGGTTTACCACTACATCCAGGCTGTGTAAAGACAATTGTTTTTGTTTTAGGACCTATACTCCTTCACAGAGCTGGAGCAAAACCAGAACCTTCTCTGTTCTTACAGGGGTATGACTTTTTAATGATTTTCTTCACCCTTTTCTGCAGGATATCCACAAAATTATCCAGACTCAGCAAAGTGAAGGCGAATCCCAGTGTCCATCATCTTAAATATCTCCGGCCTGCCATCGGATCTCTAGGGGACTGAGGAATGGCCGAAAAATGAGCCATGTCCTTGTTAATGCAGTTGTCCAGTTTGATTTTTTTGTTTGCTATTAAAGACATAAAAAATAATAAAAGAAACTACAACTATTTTTGCACTCCCCAAATTAATTTTCTGTCATTGTCTTTAACTGTAATCATTTTTCTATTATAATATAGAAACCCTTGATTAAATAAAAAAATAATGTTAGCTTATCTTTTTTTTAAGGTCTACTTCTTTCAACTCTTTATTAAATAATAAGACTTTGGAGAAAACACAAAGAAATACCTTGTAGCTCTAGATGCATTTCTTTCAATGTCCACAGTGCAGAAAACTATGAACTTCAGTTTTTACTCATGCTATGGGGCGTTTATAGCTATATATTGAAAAAATAGCATGTTGACCTTTTTTTAAATTAAAATTATTCTTGTTCAAGTAGTGCAATATCTGTCCTCTTTATGATTTTAACAAATGCTAGAGCTAATTATTTAGAATCACACCAGCATTTCAATATACTATACCTTACAGTTCAATATATGTTTTTCAGATTATGTTATCTCAATCCATCCAAACTATTTTTTTATTATAAATGCTCTGTATAATAGCAGTTTCCCTTCATTGTAATTAGTATTTCCCTTCATTGTAATTAGAGTTTCCCTTCATTGTAATTAGTATGACTATGTAGCAAAGTTCAAATGCATTCAGAAACAAGACTGAAAATGTTCCTTGGGTCACATATGCAGAAAGGGAAAATAATAACTCTTTGGATTGCTTTGCCATGGGTGCAGTACAAATATGTATTTTTACCATTCAACCTGGGCAGAAACTGAACCATAGAATGTATAAACTCTGCTTTATCAGTTTCATCTACACTGCTTAAAGTTTTCCAGGCCACAAAATGCAATATTTTCCTCCATCACAAAACACTTGAAAATTCTCTTGGAAAGTCCCAGAATAGCTATAAACTCATTGGACACAGCTACTTGCTATGAGAATGATCAAAAGTCCAAAACATGGCACTAGAAACTCTAAAGAGGAAATAGTTAACTATAGCTTTGCGGATGCAAGTGTGGGTACTTCCTATCTTGCCAGTTGATGTACTAGAATATCTTAATTATCACAGATTAGAATGAGATGGTACAATAAACATCTTGGTATCATCATAACGGACCATTTGGCCTGTCTGCATGTAGTTCATTGTTGTAACCAATTGATCCAAGCATGTGCTAGTACCTATGGGAAATAATCAAGATCACCTTAAGTTTTTCAAAAAGAGCACAATGACTCTTTAGTGAAGCGAACACACAAGCATGTAATAAGGAGAAAAGATATTGAAAACCAGTTGCATGGCAACGAGAACGGTAAACAAGAACACAGAGAGATCGCTAGGTCAAGTCTAAACAGTGAGGTTGTAATACTCAAGTCTCTTCTGGAAAGGCTTTGATCAGAGATCTTTTGGGTGATTATCAGGAGAGAGAAAAAAATAGTAAGTGTTACTTCTGTTCATTTTGAGTCTTTGAAAAAAAACAAGCTTTGGGGGTGGAATTTTTGACCTTGCAGCGAGACCTGGAAAGCTCTTCGTAGGTTGACTGAGTGATAATGAGATCTGAAACCAGATTGTTGTAAACTTGAGCAAAGTTTCTGACGATGCTGCAAACTGGAGATACCATGTGTCGTGTATCATACTGCTATGTCTCTGAACCATTGATACAGGTTTCCCTTTACTCTGGAAGAAAGTGGTTTACATCACAAACATGCAGAGTTTACATATCTTCTTAGTCCAGCATATGTTTGAGACTTTGGGCAGGTAGAAACAGCATTTCTGTATTTTTAATTTAGAAGGAGTCTCAATCTCTGCGATGTTTTCGCAGAGTTACACAATGACTGTCTGAAGTGTTAATATCAGTTAATATCAATATTTAGATGCAATGTCTTTACTGACTTCAAATATTTGAACAGACAGCAGTACAATGGAGCCCATCAAGTGAAGATTAAATTAGATGTGCTTTGGATGTGACAAATGTTTTTTTAGTCCTACAACACACAAATATTGGAAATCTACTGTAGATCTCAGCAGTATTTCGAAAAATCTTTTTGTGTGGGTTCTGTGGACAGGTAGCGAACAAGGTGCATGAAATGCAGACAAGTGGATGGTCTGCAGAAATGGCACAACACAGGAGGAGAGCCTGCACATCCCAGATCCAGAGAAACTGCGGGCGCTTCACCGAGTCTCACAGCTCTGGCTGTCTCCTGGGAGTGCTGTGTCCTGTGTCACCCCTGGAGGTGGGAAGGAGGACGGCAGCCTGGGAAGAACAGGGGTGCCTCCTCTGTGGATTCCAAGCCTCTCAGGGTGTCGTCCGCAGGGCCTCCCTGACCCAGCTCGACGCTTCCCCCTCTGTGATCTGCACCTCTGTCCTGCTCACCGGGCAGCTCGCCCACTGCACTCGGAGGCAGCTGGAAGACAAACTCCGCAGTGGGGAAATCTGCCTCTCCTCCTGGCCTGTCTCCAAGGCCCCTGCCATGCAGACACAGGCTCCTGAAGAGAGCCGCCCCCAGCTTGTGGCCAGCCTTGCTCCCCAGAGCCCTTCACAGGGCTACTTCTCCAGAATAACAGACCTGCAGCACAAACTCTACACAGGTGAAGTAACTTTTCTTCTGTGTTACTCGTTGACTCATTCACTGCCAAAAAGAGACAATGGGTTTAGGTGGCTACTGACTAAACCTGTTGTGAAAACACACCAGTTCCTCAAAAACCACCTGTCTAATCTTAAACGATTCATGACACTGACAGGGCAGGAGTGGGCTTGACGGTCGGCTTTGTCTTTGCTGCACGTGGGGGCAGCACCAGGCTCTTGCTTTGTGTGAATGAGATCAGAGCTGTGGTCTGCTCAATCGCAGTTATCTGTTGGGTTCCAAACTACTGTGAGATTGGTGTGGCATGCTGTGGGCTGAAAGAAAATGCACTGTGCCATTTACAGTAGTCCTGCTTGAGTTCAACTTATTGGTTTAAAAATGAGTTTCTTTCCCAAAGCATCTCCTTATTAAAAAGAGAGACAACAGACAGTTAAGGCATCATGATACTTAGAGAAAAAAAGTTGGTGGGGGGTTGAGATTTTTTTTCTTTTGTTATCAGAAACACGAAATGAAGCCACAGAGAAATTGTCAACTAAAACAGAAACTCCTGAAGTCTCTTGCCCACACAAACAAGAATCGCACACTTTTGTTTTGAGTTGAAAGTTATTCTTGCGGAAAGACGGGGCGTCTGTTGTCTTTCTAAATTGGCAATGCTACACATTCACCAGTCGAGCAGACATACAGAGGACAGCAGCCACTCTGTGATCAGCTACAATCCCCACCCAAAGGGTACTAATCTGTAAAGAGGTCAGGGATGAAGAGAGGCTGTTGTATTTTAGAAAAACAAAACATTTTGCAAGCCTGGAAATAAGTAGGTTTTAGCATTGCTGCCATCACCCAGGAGGTGCATAGGATATCATGCAACAAAGCTCATCTTTCTCCACTGACAGTTTAACAGAATTCCTCCCACGCTGTGTGACCTGTGGTAACAATTCCCATTCCACTCAGTAGGACTTTCCCCTTGAAGCTTCTCTGTCTGTGCTTGTCTTGGTATCTTCTTTTATCTGGTGAAGCAAAGGACTTTATTGAAAGACACCAGGTTATTACTGTATTAATTAGAACAACACATTCCAGGGAAATCCCTGCACTGACAAATGCATTTTTAATTTAATGCTAACATTATCAGTGTATAAATCACGTACGTGTGTGTGGGGGTTATGTAGTTTTTGTATTAAGCTACGTGTTTCTTTAATATATATGCCAAAGAGCAACCTGTACACACAAACGTATGAGAATGAACTCGCCTTGAGCTGATAGAAGTCTAGTTTGTCATGCCAAAGAGTGTGAACTGATGGCAGATCGCTATGTGGCTGCTCAGGACAGAGCCCCCCCAGACTGCTGCCATGGAGACAGAGCACTCCGGCCTCCCCAGGACCAGGCCAGCCAATCAAGTGCCACTCTGCAGACTGGAGGCGGGACCCCAGCCCAGTGGGGAGCTGGTTCTGTGGCTCTCCTGAGCCAGCTGCCCTCTTCCCCCCTCTCCTCAGCACCTGGATGCAAAGAGACGCCAGAAGCCGCCCCTTCAGGAGCTACTGACCAAAACCATGTCAGGTAAATTTTACTGTGTATCCAGCACCTGAAGACCACATATCCACAGGTACTGAAAACACGCACCCCGCAATAAACCTGCAAAGACAATTGTTCGATATCTCTGATGTTGTCTTTTACAAGACATATGCATAAGGCAAGGAAGAAATCTGTTTCTAGCTGAAGGAATTACCAGAGGTGGCACCATCAAAAGAGGATAAGCTGTCCTTGTGTCTTTGTTCCATCTGGGCCCCCTACTTTACGGTATGTCTTATCTTAAAAGCACAGCACCAAGGAGACACTGCTTTTATTGACAAGCCTGTTAAAGGGCAAGGAAACGAGATCATGGCTGGACCTCTGAAATCAGTAGGTAGTCGATCCCTGCAGAGAGGAGAGGGCTGGAAGCATTTGGGATGAGTGAAGAGTGAAGACTCCTGGCCATTAACACATGTCAGCCCTCAGCCCAGGGTCCTGGGGAACCCCACATCTGCTGGGCTGTGCTCCACCTGCACGCTCACAAACAACTGATCACATTGACCTCCAAAGACCAAATTGCGGGATTTCATTTGAACTATATCATTGTTTTCAGTTCCTTAACCTGATGGAGGTTTCCTTATACAGTAGCTGCTGTGTTTCATAAGTAACTGAAGATCCCCAATCTTCGAGCAGAAGAGGTTAATTCGATTAAGGACGCAGTGAAGTAAAGAACTCACCTGCTGCGAAAAGTAGGAGGTGTGGGGGTCCCCAGGACGAGGGCAGGGAACCCCAGCTTTAAACTCATTTTTTGAAAATGAGAGCTATCACTTAAAAAGAGGCCCACACAGGTTCAGGGGTGGACTGAGCGCTGAGATTGTGAAATACATTTTCCAAACTAATGTCTGAAATATGGACCATAAATAAGCTTAGTACTTTATGTGTATAATACAAGATCACAGAGAAAGAAAACTGCTTGTGGTAACAGGGGATTTCTGCTGCATCTCTGTTTCTCCCCCTGTCCAGCTCACACAGCAAACACCTGGATACTGCTGATCCTCTGTGCTCAAAGGTGGTAAATGTGTTTTAAATCCTCCTTCATCAGAAACATAATGGCTTTAGGCCCTGTTTCAATTATGGGCTTCAGATTTTAATTTTCCATCAATCTTTTTTTGAATATTTGTAGATTCTGTGATTTTAATTACAAATAGTTTCTTGTAAATTACAATTGGTTTGAAACTCCATTCTTTTCTATGTGTAGTATAGTCTTTGCTATTTTAATACTGTATTTCACCTGTGTTGCCAATGTTATGTCACATTCTGTTTGTTAACCTGTGCTTTGCTGTGAGTCAGCTTAGGTAAAGGTGTCTGCAAAGCAGAGTACTTGCAACAAGGAGGAAGAATGTTACTTAAAGGTCAGCCTCTCTTTGTGAGTCTAAAAACAGAATATGTGTTAAACTGCCGCACAAAAATCTCTGGATGTTATAAAAGCAACAATGTTCAAATGATGATTATGAGGAGATGACAGCAGATGCCTTTCATGTCAGAAAGAAAAACAGTCGCAGGCAGGAAAGTCAGGAGTCTGGTCAGTTTATCTGCTGTAAAGGAAACGGTCCTATTCTAGTGACAAAAGGCCAGATGCTCTGTAACAAGATGGTAATAAAAACCAAAAGCAACTAATCTGATGCACAACCTCCCAGACAATACAATACAAAATTAAAAACCATTTTAAAATAAAAAGAAGAAACCACCCCAAAAAACACCCCAGAGGGGAACAGAAGAGTTGCTTGCGTTAAAATGAAAGCTCTTCTTGCTTGTTTTCCCCAACAACTATTAATTAATAGTTGACAATTAATTTTAGAAATTAATTAATCACAATTTATTTTTAGATTGCGCTTTAGTTGCAATTGCAACTAAGGACTTAATGCAGACTTTTTAATTCTGTATAGTTTTAAATGTGTTTCAGACAACTCTATCCAACAGAAAAGAAGAAGAATCGTACATTTTACAATTTTTTAAAATCTGGTACTGTTCTGAGTGAACCATTTCCTATTTTGCAGGTCAGAACTTTGACAAAGGATGTCTCAGTTTGACACAGACCAGGAAATGAGGAGCTGCAAGGTCTGAAACATGCATTCTGAAATGCACTTCTGAAGTTTTGTGGTGCAAAGATCAACCACAGCAATTTTGAGAACATTAGCCCAGTTTACAACTCCTGTCTCTTATCACATCAAAAGATTTCCGACAGGATGCTCATCATGACTAAATGAAGTGTCCTCACAGTGCTCCTTCTGTAGCACTCATATTCATATTAACAGTTAGAAAGTGTGGTTACATTGTTCAGGCAAAGCAAGTCATGGTTTCTGGCCATGTGTTTCGGCACCCAAGCTTCTTACCAAATTAAAGGAACCCCATCATGCCTCTGTTTTCAGTGTGAGTAAGGAATGCGCTAGCAGAACTCTGCAGCAAGAAGACAGCTGCCTGCTGTAACTCGGCAACAGGTTCATGGGATGCTCTGTACTGGCCAAGGTTCACAGTGACAAATTCAAATTCTGAAAAACGTCTTGTGTTTTTTATAAACACTTCTGTTTTTTTTAACCAGATCTGGCCTACTATGAATACGGTACACCAGTCTAATCAATGAATCCTTCTATGAGTTCCCTTAACTTCAAAAAGAGACAAACATTTGTTGTTTTTTTCAGTGCTGCTATTTGTTTTCAGAATAAACATTTTGTCTGGGCCGTGCGTATTATATTTTGTCATACTTCTGTCTGTTGAATGACGTGAGTGCAAATAGGGCTATCTGTGTGCTGTAAAACAAATCCTTTTCACAGCCCCAGCTCTGCATTAAGATAGGACTTGCTCCCGTGGGTGTTGTGATTGAGGTACTTCTCCTCGTCCAGCCCTGTTGTTGTCACTGTCTGCAGCAGCGATGACTCAGTGAGGTTTCAGTTGCTCCACGGCATGGACCTGCTGCCTGTGCTTTCGATGTTGGGTTTGACTGTAATCCTCCTGCCAAAGGCCTAAGCCCTTGGCCAATAGGCAAGGTGCCTTCATCTCCCTGCTCAACCAAGCCTCTGAGGAGTAGACGCAAAACCAAAGAACAACCGAACAGAAAAAAAGCTGCAATACCAGTTGTGACATAAATAAGTCAGCTGTCTCCTCCCAAATATTCATTTTTTACCACACAGTTATAAAACCACATATTTTGCTACAGAAATCAGCATTGTGAAAGTGATATATTCAAATAAACTTTGCAGACTTGTGCTTTTGGTGTGATGTATCCTGAGACAATTGTTTGCAATATTAAACATGCATAGTACAGTCCTTCCTCCCTGACAGTTAGCAGACAGTTAGCAGGCTTGCCACATTGTTCCACTGAAATCTTCAACAGTCCTGTGGACTTGCAGTCTTCTTGCATTTGGATTTTAACATTTTACACTGAACAATCCATAGTATTTGGTGGCACTACTTCATTGACGTGTTTCAGAACGCGGTCACAGAACTGCGAGTTGACTTGTTTCGGTTTTACTTGATGCCTTGACTGCTGTGATATTCTCCTCCAATAGGTAGCAGTGACTAGCTTGCACGTGAACTGGACCTGGTATCATTGCCCAAGCAAACCAGAATTCCCTTTTCACAGTGTCCAGTTTTTCAACAGTTTAGTCAACATTGCAGTCTGCTTCCCCTCCTGCCTCCTTTAAACACAGCAGGGATGTGGTCACACTGGTAAAACCTCTGGTCAGGCTGGACTCCTTCCCAGTATGGAGTGACATTAGCAAGGAGTCACAGTGTAACAACTCCATTAATGGAGTGAGACTAGGACTTCCTTCCTTTCTCTACATCAGGGAAAATCCTCCTGAACTAAATCCTGAGCTACATTCCTGAGCTCTCGCCAAGGACAAGCACGTTTCCTTGCTTTTTTACGAGCAGGCTGGTGAGAGGGTTCTGCCTGCCCTGTCTGCTTCTGGCTCATTCTGGACTGTGCACATGTTTGAGAAGGTGAAGGTGTGTTCTTCAAAGTTTCATTATGGAAAGGCTTTATGAGTCAGATCCATTATTCTAACCAATTGTGATTTCCTGTGGTCTTCATACTGAGCACCAGTGGAGACAGATCACAACTGGGATACTCCACCTGTTTTCACTCAAACTGTTCTTAGAAGCGTCCCAGTGTTACTAACCTGATCATGGCCAGTCTGTGCAAAAATGCCAACATAAGAATTAATATGTTTTTTTATTATGTAAAACAAAAAAAATATAGTTAAGGACGACTTCAAATTCATCGTCCATCTTTGAACTCCTTCCACTGCTCAAACAAGACCTAACTCTGCCCTGCAAACCAAAAACACAAATGATTCCTGTTAAAACAGGATGAAATAGGAGTGAGCATACATGAAATGTAAACAGATGAAATGGGTAAATAAATCCTTTCTTTCAGGAAAAGAATTAGGAGTGCCAAAAATAGTTTTTCTACACTCTCATTCGTTTCTTCTTATCGGCACAGACAGTCCTAGGCAACAGTGCCGTTACTGGCATCCACATTTGTCAAAAAATAATCCTCTGAAAGAAGACAGTCTGGCCTTCCCACACTCTTTGGCCTCTGCTCACAAATGTACCTATACCTTTATGCCTTCAAACACTTTAAGAGGATGTGGGAGGCCCTAAGAGCCAGTTGATAACAATCAGTTGACTAGGCGTTTAACATTCCCCTGCTCTTCAAAACTCACTCTTGCCTTTTATCTAGTGGAAGGACTCGATCACGGCAGGCCTGGGTTCAGCAGTGGAGTCTATACTAGCTCTGAAGCCAAGTGTCACGTAGTAGGCCGAGCACATCTAAACTTTCCATCCCTTATCGCCCTTGAAAGCCCACGGGGCTAGGGCTGGGGCTGGAGGCAGCACGGGCCTGCCTCTGATCTCAGACGCCTCTGCTGTCATTGTTCCAGCACACACTTGCTCAGACAACACAGGAGGACGCTGTTGTATCTGATGAACTGCAAACAACTCTCTGCCCATGAATGTGATCAGTCAATCATTCTTATATGTACTGTATATAATCTATTCTTGCAACATAGCCAAAGGTCAAATACGAACTCTTCCTGCCTACATGGCACATGACTGCATTATGTCTTACTCACATGATAAATTCCTCATAGAAGCATGATACACATGTCATTTGACAGAGGTATGCTTTATCTTTTATCGTTTCTAAATCAAAAATATAAAGCATTGATAGAGATACAACAGCTTTAAATATAACTGTAGCATTTTTAACACTTACCCTTCCCAACCTTTCTAGTGTCACTTCTGCAGATTTGGGCAATTTTCTTATTGTCTGTCTGACTGTCAAAGGAAGAAATATAAATGAGCTCTTGCGCTCTGTGAAAAGTCTAATGAGACTAAGTTCCTCTTTTGCATCTGTAAGTGTCAACTTTAGCAGCAGTGCACACAAAATCTATGCCATGCTGATGACACCAAAAAAGGGCAAAACAACTATCTCTGGCTGCCACATTTGACTTCACATACAGAAAAGGTGAAAGGTGAAAGAAATTAGAATTCTAGTGTGATGGGTCCATTTTCCAATTACTCTAATATGCCAGAACTATTCATAATCATAATACATACAGTATATTCATAATTAAGCCCTATAGTAGATAAATATACTATAAATCTACAGTATATACTGTTACAAAAACCACATCAACTCAAAAAATGTCCATGACAGAATACCAGAAAATTGTAATTGTAAGAAATAAACAACAACACTGGCTAAAAACAGATAAGGTTTACAGGTGTAGACAAGTGTGCTCAATCACCAAATTTCCACCGCCATCTTAATCAATTCTAAGACCTGCAGAGCATGGATCAGCCCTGCCTAACCCTAACCCTAACCTGTCCTGGAAAGTGATTAGCCATGTTACTAATCCACCACTCCCCAGCAGTGAATGAAAAGTTCATATCAAATACAAAACCAGGGATGTATGCAGATATGGTGAAGTTAAATGACAAAATGCAGCCCTGGCCCTGGAGAGCCCCAATCCAGATATTCTCATACTGTAGGTCACCCTGAATTGCCTGTTATTTACAGATCAGGAACACTTGTTTCTGCATTTGGTCAATTAAGCAAGTAAGGAGGGCTTTTGGATATTCTGGTTATTGTTCCAAATGATCTCTAAAAGACTTAATTGAACTCACCATCTGGTTAATTGCTGGTCACAGTTAAATGGTTCTAGGCCTTTGGAAAATGCAGATTTAGGTGCTGCCTATGAACACTGCTGGATTGGGGCCCTCCAGGAGCAGGGTTTGAGACCCACTAATGTCAATATTCATTGGGTTCCTAGTCTGTCCTCAAAGAAAGAGGGAAAAAATCCCAACCTTTTCAAAAAAGCAAAAAAGCAAGTACATTACAGTGTAATAGAATGTATGCAAATATTTCTTTCAGAAAAATGGTGCCTTAGTGTATTTGTTTGACATATCTTCCAGTGGACAATTTTACAATTCCAATAACAAAAGCACTCCGGTTTGTAAACATTAAAGTCAGTGAGTATGTTTGCACATGCAGATGCCTTCCTTTTTGGACAAAGGTTTCACGCTGGGCAAAAAGACGAAGAACACCTGACACCTTGAGCATACCAGTTATAGATAAATGCACAAAGTAGGCATCAGTGTGGTGCAGAGGTTTGGAAGTGTGATAGGAAGGTTGTCGGTTCCAGTCCTGGCTGGGCTGAGCTTTGACTTTGCTCATAATGTTTCAGCTTCAGACGCCAATGCTATTCATGTAAATTATTGGTACCCTCAACAGTTAAGGTGCATCTTTTTGTCCAGAAAGCTGAATGCTGTAATTATGCGACATTGAGCATTAAACTACTTTTATTTAAAATCAACATAAATTCAGTTTTATTTTTTTTTATTTTGCTGCAGACAGCTTCCTATGATGTCATTCAAGACACTGAGTTTGTAAAATAAAAAAGAAAGTACTGTTATGTTAACGAAACACCACACTGCATGAGATGGTGCTCCGATATAAACCTATTTTATAAATTTTGGAATTATGATTAAGGTCTGAAGATCTGTGTGTTCTTGGTTCTGAGGAGGCCATAGGCAAGCAGATAACAAGTGGTTTAACAAGACAGTTTCTGGGGTTTTCTGTTATGGAAACCATGCAAGAGACCCAGCTTACCACTTTATTTTGTACCAATCGAAGAGGCTTTAGTTTCAGGCTTTCAGTTTTGCTCAGCATGACTCATCTAATGTCTGCAAACACATTCAGTATTATTTTAGCCTCGTGGTTAATAACCTGCATATTCTTATGTTCTTGCATATTCAGGACACTGCTAAGATGGTTTACTTTCCTCCCTGCAAAAACCTTATTTAGGTGCTAAGGACCAGACATCTTTGCGATAAAACTGCTGCTGTTGCTCTGATGTGTTTCCAAAACATGGTATGATGTTGGGTGGAGCTGAAGCACTGATAAATGTTTAAAGACATTTATCACTGTGAGTCAAAAACAGGCTAGTAGCCGATAGACATTCCACAACTTAATTGTGCAGTATTAAGTTTTAATCCTTTCTGAACTGACGTATCAGTATGTGATGCAGTTCTACGAGTCTCAGAGGTCATGTGACTCCTGTAATTCATCAGTATGTTATTTGTAAGTATAGAGGAGCCTGGAGCACAAACATAAAGACTGTCAGCACAGGGCCAAGACATCTCCATCCTCTTCGAGCAGGCTCCTAAAATGGATTTGACCTCCAACATGAAGTAGGAGAGAAAAATCTTTCCTTTAAGAGCACAGCAAGATGTGCCTTGCTACATGAACCAATACAATTTAAGTCAAATAAATATATAACCCTTTTAAATTAAATATTTAACCAAGCTAAACTAAATAAGTTTATAGCAGTTCAAGGGTCAAAGTGACAACTAAGAGGAAGCATTCAGCATGTGTACTGAAAACGTGTTGCCCTTGTCAAAGTGTGTGTAGGAGAGTTCGAAACGTTTCTTTCACTATTCTTTCAAACTCTAGGGTTGTAAAGGACCTAATTTTAGGGGAGTGAGAAACAACCTTTTTTTAATCGGTTGTTTTTTTTCTTTTAGTAATTTAGGTTTATCCTAGTTTGTCTAGGCTTGCTTTGTGGAGGCCCAGGCACTTGATTGGCACTGGTGTGTGGAAATATCGCCTGGTTTGATAGTCAGCGATATGTTGATTCACAGCAAGAAAAAACACTGAAGCTGTGCAAGCTGACCCAGCAGATGTCTTGTAAAGGGATATTGTCATGATAAAATGTTTCAGGCAGGATGAAAACACCATTAAATCTTTGTTATATCTTCTTTTGAGATGACTAAAGCAGTTTCATACAAAAAAAACAAGAACTGTATTAGCGGTGTTTCAGACAGATTGTTCATTTTTCGCCACAGCTGTGACTTTCTACGCACGTCAGCCTGTGGTCTGATGAGTTAGAAACAGAAGAGTTTAGCAGCCAGGACCTGAATTCAAGGGCTGACAATGATAAAGGCCTGCTTCACCCGTTTGCTGTTGAGTAAAAACACTGAAAACCTTCTCCTGAATGGTGATGGTACTAATTATTACAGGTGAAGAAACGTTACAAACGAGAGGAGGCTTTCCCGGGATTCATTCAGCCATTTCTCCAAGGAAACCAGAGTAGCAGTTTCAGCCAGAAGGCTGGATAATTTGTCCCATGCTCCTACAACCTCCTGTTCGCAGTTTTAAATTGTACTTCATGTTACTGTCATCTACGTTTTAGAAAACAAGGGGTTTCTTCTCTTCTCACTGGGAGAATTCTGTCACAGGAACAACCAGCAAGACACTGACATTTCTAACTTTCATTGTTGTGCCCACCCTGCACAGTCAATGCACAGGACACAGGCTTAAACATTTGGCTGCAGTTATTTGTTTTACTTCATTTTTTTACTGGTATGGTGAAATCCTAGAAAACCACACAGCCAAACCTAGAACCTTTTTTTTTCTACCTGTTGCTTAAAAAAAAAAAAGATTTTTATTCTTCTGATAACAAGAGACCTAACTAGCAGATGAGGAATAATTCTCCTGCATCTGTGTGAAACAAGAAATTCAAGGCTACCGGTTGCTTAGTTACTGTATTAAGGTGGAAACATTGGTCACCTGCAGCGACCTGACTGCCACTGTCCTGAAGTCCTAATACAGAAGCACAGGCTATTCCTAAATTCTTCTTTAGTGAGAGACAGCATTTAAGTCAAGTCAGTGAGTATCATTGGCTAATTTGCAACTTTTGGTTTTCAGGATAACTGGGTTCCAGAACTGGATTAGGTAGCAAATTTTCCTGAACACAATGAAAGGTTCCAGGTGACCCAGTGATATTTCGCCTGGGAGGAGAGCAGCGTCAGGGAGAAGCACGAGCTCTGGAGCTGTTCTCCACAGGAGCACGCGCAGGCTGAACTTGGGTTACTGTCTCCTGCACCTACTGTACACTAGCACTGTGGGTCGGTCAACAAACACACATACTGTAGGGAATAAAAGGTACTGTAAAAGTCGGGAAACCCCAACATGACCAAAACGGTCAATCTGTAATGGAGTCCAATGCCTCCAGTGAGACATCTGCTGAAACACTTGTGTTCATTCCAAAAACCGACATATCAAATTAAAAAAACTGTATGTCATTTTCTACATTTCCTGTGATCATATCTGTGTGCACTGAATTTACACAGCAATGAATTTACATGGTCCTTTACTTTTATTTCTTTCAAAATCATGCATGTTCCTTATGAGATAGCATTTTACACGGAACCAAAAAAGAGACTTTAGATGAAAAAAAACTAGTTTAAATAAGGGAGACGTCACTGTGAACAGCTGTGTTCCTATTCGGGTCTGCACAAGAGGAAGTGTATGCTGACATTGTCAGTGATGATCAATCTCTCTGGTGCTGGTAGGTGTGTGAGACTCACTGTCACTAAGAGATTGACTACAGCCCTGTGTGTGACAGTTCACATCCAGACCAGCTTTCTTTCGGAAACCCCCCTGTCCTCTTCTCACTACCTGTTTGTGTGGGATTCTTTCGCATGCTTACCCTACTGGTATATTTTTTACATATTATTATATTATAATTTGTCAAAATTAAAACAATGTTAATATCCGTTATAAAAAAGTAAAACAATGATAGTACAGTTCCCTTTGGTGGGAGCTACTGATGTAAATACCCAAAACATGTCCTAGTTGGTGATCTATTAAACTGTATTTACAGTAGTTTCATTACAAGTGATAACCAGTGATAAAAATAAATTGTTCATCCCCAGATCATCTGGAAAGAGTGAAATGGCATTGATAAATGGAATATAAACTGCTTACGAACATATCTGACTGCAATTAAAAACTAAGGGTAAAATAATTTTAATCAGGCAAATGTACATACATACTGCTACAGTTTGGCTCTGTTAATTACACTCAAATTACTTAAAACGGAGGATCTGGTCTGCAGCTCGATTTATGTGCAACTTTTTATATTCCAGCCTAACTGCTTAACTACTGGATTTCATAAATCACATTAAATTCCTGACTTTTAAGTACGGGAGAAAAAAAACTTGCATGTTCCAATCACCCACCTTGTTAATTCAATTAAAACAATAGTTGTAAAGCCAACCTCTAATGTTCAAGAACTGAAAAAAATCACACAATTCAAATTAATCCTATCATTAAGCCAGTTAATGGATCAATTGTGTAGCTGGGAGCCTGTCTAGAGTATAAACCAGCAGATGAGGGCGATCAGAATTGGGAACCTGAATTAAGACAATATGAGTTAAACTACAGTACTTCATTCCCGTTCATCTGTGAATTTGAAGCTCCTGAAACAGTAAACCCGTTTTCCTTCGGGCACATGGCAAAGCTGCTGACTGTGCTAATCTCCCCCAAAATCCTTGTAGCTTTAATGTTATGTATTTGTTTATTTATACATATAAAAAGATTTCCTGTTATTCACAAAGCCGCAAAGCCTATTCCCCTCCCGCTCATTCTCTCTCTCTCACCCTGCCTCCTGCCTATATATGCGAGCGGCGGGTTGAGGTTTCAGATACCCTGAAGTCTCAGCTGCAGTCGGTGACTAACGCGATGAGACCCCACAATAAAATGGCAGTCTTTCTCGTAATTGCGTTCATCTCGTTTCCTCCAAGTGTCCTAGCTGAAAGCGGATCAGGTTCCGACGGTAAGTGAAGGAAGACTTTTATTGAACATTACGAGATTTTAGGATAAGTCGTTTTAAAGAAAATCAGAGCCACGTACAAGGCGGACTGACACCGACAGAAGCGAACACGTTTGATAATGAGGTCCCAGCGCTAGATAATTTTACTTTTTGAATAAATTCTCTATTAAGGATCAATCGAATCGTTTCTGCCTTCCCCGTGGTAACAAGTAGTGAAATGTTGCGTATATTTTCCAAACATTCAAAGTTTCAAACTGAAAAAATCCGTAACTTTGTTTAAAAAACACGGACAGAAATTGTCCACTTGTCATTATCCCTGAAATCTGTATTCTCCCACTCTGTCACATCGCTCGCTTTTGAGTCTTTAATAGGGGGCGGCTTCCCAATGAGACTCGCAGGTAGCTACAACTCGTTTAGATGAACCCCAACTGCTCCACACAACTCAAACCAGACGCCCCAAATAACGCGCGCTGCCCTGCTGTGATCTCGGGGGGTCTGTTTACTTCGAACCTGACAAGAAAAAACGGCAACACCGCGAACAATAGTATTTTTGTTATTGCAGTGGCTTCTCTATGCTTGCATGGTTAATGAATATGTACAAACGCGATGCTACATGTCAAGGTGTCGGATCATTTGCAGTTTAATCAATCAGGATATTCCAAACGTGTCTGTACTTGAATGTAAAGTTTCCTATATACCAGGCTTATTCTTTACTGTTGTCTCCAAGCTAAACTTGACGGAAAATATACCAAGTACAATTTATGCAGAAAACAAGTTGTAGTAGTCCTGTTATAAAGTAATAGAATAAGTAGAAATTACGTCATTCATTAATTCATTTTTTGTTATTGAAATTAATTCACACTGGAGTTTTAAAAGAAGCCAAGAGGCTAATTCACATCAGCGCACTCGGATTTTCGGCAAATCTGTGTCTTCTACTGTGTGGTCGGTCAGCGGATCGGAAAGGTTTTTAAAGTTCAATCTGGGGGGGCGGCAGATAAAAAGACTGAAGTGGTGGAGGAAATTGGTGTGTTCCGATGCGCAGGAGGTGGTTACCGCTGAGAGACGGTTTTGGCATTAACGCAAATAATCTTGACAGCAGACCAAAATACGATCCTTTTTTAGGTTGATTAAAACCCAGAAGGGGGAAGCACGTGTTTTACTTGGGTGTTTAAATTTATATACTCAGCCAGTACCTTCAGCGCTGTGTTCTTGGCTGAAATGATGATTGATTTAACATAACTGGTGTTAAAAGGGGTGGAATGGAAGAAATTCTCATGTTTTCTGCCCAGTGATGGAAGCACAGCTTTTTGATCGGTTTTCCGCGTTGAAGAGTAAAACGGAAATCCATAGATGTCTGTATTTACATCTTAACTGTGATTTCATACGATGAATGTGTGTTTAACAGAGGTTGGAAGAGGCATTACTGACCTTTCCGCAGGGTTTACCGAACAAAAGTATAGACAACACTTGTGAATGAACCTGTGGGTTGTCTGAGCCCTGTTGCAACTAGTGTATATCCTGTGGATGATCTGTGAGTGGTCATATTGAGTGTGGGGGAACAATTACTTGGGGAATAGCACTGTGCACTACATGGGAAGTGAGGGTTATGAACTGAAGTTCGGAAGGGATGATGATAAGTCAATCTCGGACATCTGCACCTAATCATGAGCTAGCTACATAAACTCAACTCAAGTGCCTCCCTTTGCATTGGTCTCAAGCATCCCTGCTCTGCCCCATCTCCACTTCGCTGCTGGTCCTGGGTTCGCTCATCTGAATGGGGCATGGGCCTCCTCATTCTAGGGCCAGAAGGTTGCCAATGAACCAAGCAGGTTGAGCCACAGTTTTGTCACCAAGAATTCCAAGCATTCACAAATATTCAGGTCCTGGATGTTGCTGGCCCTAACGAACTGTTGTAATACTTACCGATTTAGTAACTTTTCTTTTACCAGTAGCAATAATTGTGATACGCAGTGCTAAAGCAGCTTGCATCTGTAGCCATGGAAATGGCTGGGCATTCTACCTAGCAATCAGAATGAAAGGCTTTATCCGAGGGTACAGTAGCACATGGAATTTTCCAATTTTGGGGGGCAGTTTAACACGTCAAAATACTTCTGATTTATGAACTGTTCAAGTCTTGCACTGCGCAAAGACAAGGGACAGGAGCTGAAACTCATGCTTCTCCTGCCAAGAAGAACTGAAGCAATCTCTTCTTATCAAAGCGAAATGGAGTTTTTCCTGGCAAGGCTTGGAATATGTCCGTATACTAATGAAGCAGAGGGCCATTTCCAGGCGCTTACATTTCAAACTGAAGGCTGCCCCGTGTTCTGTCGAGGAGCAACAGGAATGTTGTTGTCCTATCATGAGACATGTGTGGAGGCAAGGTTTGTATGTTCTCGAGGGGGTGATGAGTCCAGAAACTGAAGAACTGCGTTGTTGTTTTAAAGATTCTCTGGATGACTTTGTGAACTGCACGTCCCAGATGACCATGGCTCAGAATTCTCTGGCCTGCCACTTTGACGAGGGCATCGCTGCTGATGTGAAGCGCATTCAGCTATGGTAAGGTCACTATTCCCTTGCCCTCTGCCCCTAGAGCACTCAGGAAGACGGTTAAGCCCTTATGGCTGGGGTCTGCAGTCAGTATTGATGGACTGACCCACATTTGGACTGATAGCAACGGATAAGAAGAGCTCAGTCACGTTCAGCACTGCTGCAGGGCGCCAGGCTCGTTGGTGAAGAGATTTGACCAATGTCTGCCCCAGCCAGGAGGCAAGGTGATAATCGAAACCTCTACCACAGCTTTGCTAGCATACTGCTCCAGCATGTGAGCTGCCTGGTCACCCATAACCAAGTGCTGCTGTTCACATGTACAGTACTGTATGTGTGACTCTGAGAAATATGCCATTGGCTCCCAGTGATCTGTAATGCCCAGGAGAGAGAACCAGCATGTTTGTGCCAAAAGCCTTTGGTTTGAAATTATTTTTTTAAATTTTTTTTAGCGATTCCCTGAAACGTAACTGCGTGAAGCTCAGCAACAGAACAGAAGATGGGAAGACCTTCCATTATGTGAATCTGAATCCCGTTAGTGTATATAATATTTGCATCACACTGAAATCCAAAATGAAGCTCTGCGACCATATTAAGCTGAAAGACATCAGTAAGTATGTAAATGGTCTATCTATAGGAGGAATACGGTTTACTAGTTCTTGTAATTTCGTATTCTAGAGCAGGGACCGCCAGTGCTAATTTTTCACTAACGCTTCCTGCAAGTTCCAGGGTCCCCTTTCAATTAGTATCTGATTTAGTAAAACACACCTGATTTGACCTCCTACACATGTGATGAGTTCAGTTACACAGAAACATGCTGGGGTGTTTGTCGCTCCTGGATTTGCAAAGCATCTGAAAATCATTACTGACTCTTTGTCCGAACGTACCCTTCACTGCTCCCTGACAAGTGGAAGGTATGTGCTACATCAGGGGCTGTGAATGAGTGAAAGATGGGGCCACCTTTACTTAATGTTTGTGCAAATGGGTGTTTATTAAGCCTTTTATACTGTATTTTATGTTGCATTACTCGACTTACAGTCCCACTGCCATTTAAGGTACAGTCTGCAGTGGGCTGTACTTGTCCATCAACGATCCCTGAGCAGAGAAAAGTGTGCTGCCAGTCACCCTGGTGGTTCAGGGGTCAGAACCAAAAATAGAGGTGGAGGCAGGGAAAGAGGGTTGTGCAGTATAAATTAACCACCTTCCCTGCCATTAATAAATGGAGTATGAGTGTCAAAAGCACCTGGATACATTTAGTAGGTTAATCTTGACAGACCCCAGCTCTGGAAAATGTAATGATGGTCTGAAATGCATGAAATATTCAGGCTGAGGATGGAAAGGAAGATTTTGCTTGACAATATTAGAATCATCGAAATTGCAATTAACCATGTGTGTAAAAGTCACTGAAAACGGGTCATGTGGCAGTGTGGTACTGAGCTGCGTCTCCACCATGTCTGAGTACAGGTATGTACAGGTGACCGCAGAGGCTTAAAAGAGCTGTGCACTGTTTTCTGAGATGGTAATGACGAGCTTCCCTCTTTGTCTTCGAGTCAAACCATTCCCACCTTGGATTGCCAATGCCACGTTCGTGAAGAGCATCAATGCCGCTGAAATAAGAATTGAAACGCACTATGCCAATGACTACTTGGATCGGAAACTCGTCTTCCAAGTTGAGATTCGTGGAAATGGCACTGTGCAGGTAGGGGCAGCCCATCTGCTTGTAATCCTATATGGAGCTGGTCACTGACTCCTCAAGCTGATGTGCTTCACTGCACAGCTTAAACAGGAGTGTTGAGCATGCTGATACACACACCTACAGTAAGTGTTCACATCAGGTCTTTCTTCGCCAGTTGTGTTCACTTGCATGGTTGCTTGAAAACGGACTATTTTTTCTGGGGCCTTAGAGGTTAAGTATCATTTTTCAAATCTACACCATTAGAGCCAGATATGTGAGAGTTGGGGAGTGGCAGCACATTGCATGTAGTTGGTCTTCCCGTTCGCTTTCAGTTTCCTTTTTATGTGCAGTCGCCACCTTCTTTACAGCAGACCTACACTCCCTCAAGGCTAGTCTGTGCTAACGTGAGAGTGAATTCAGAAACCTGAAACGTGAAAGGAAAAGAATTTGCTCGTTAAATCAATTTCTTAAGATTCTCTAGAAGTTTTCACCTTGTGCGTTTTTTTTTCCTGACTGATGGATTTAATTTCCTAGAAAACGGACATCCTCTATCAGTCTCTGCGGGTAGAGGGAAAATATCTGGAGCCTAACACCCTGTATCACGTGAGGGCCCGAGCCAAGCCTCAGGGTGACTACTTCCAAGGCTTCTGGAGTGACTGGAGTGATCCAGTTGCCTTCAGGACGACCAAATTAGAGGTTCCCGAGAAGGGAGGTGAGTCAGTTCAGTTTTGTTCCCAGAAAAGATGGTGACTGTCATGGCAGGAGCACGCTGTGACGCAGCTCGACGGGAGAGGATGTTGCTGGAGCTGCAGCAGCAGAAGTCGCAGTATGAGCAGACCCAGACCAGAAATTCCGCATCATCGCATGGGGTTCCCCCCCACCCCCCCCCCTTAGTTCAGAGCAGGAGCCGGGGGCGGGAGCACTCTCCGTGCGTGACTTTCCAGGCCCTGGGGAAAAGCCCTCCTCATGTTGTCAGTCGTCAGCCTCTCGTGTGGTTGCGACAGTCTTTCAGACGGGGACCATTGCAGATCCCGAGTGGTGACTGGGGACTGTGTGATGCATTCACCTCTCGTTTTCCCCACCTGATCTGGGGTCCATAGCAGCTCTCACGCAGGTGGGGGCTGCACTACACAGGTGGATGAAGTGAGGCCACACTTATACGTGAAGCACTGTGGAGTGACAAGCTCTGCACAAATGCTATTAATGCTAGACTAAGAGCCTGTTATTTTCAGCAGCAACCTTTTGCACAGATGTGGATTAAGAGTGCCTGTGATTTCTGACCCGACACCTCCTTGTGTTTCACACAGGACCAAATATACTCCTCTACGTTCTCATAATTTCCGTGGTCGTCTTGCTGCTGATCACCATCGTCGTTGTAGTGCAATGGAGTACAGAGTAAGTCCTAGCAAAAATGTACTTTGTGCACTTGAAGACAGGTTTATCAGCTGCCCTACATTAGCTAGGATGTCCCATACAGAGCACCATGTGTCCTGAAAAGGACCAACAACCACAAATACTTAACCTACCTGTTGAATGGTATAAGTACCATCCTCGAGATCATGCAAGCGATTCTTAGCACAACAACCAATATGCCGCACTTATGTGTGAGACATATCATTACTGAATAATTACACTTCTAGAAACCTAGAAATCCTGTCGAGCCCGATGCAGAGTAAATATATCAGTACGATATCGGCTTCCCTCACACGCTACTGTGTAATCAAGTGAGATAGTGACATTATCAGTGTTGGTCAAAGTGTCTTGTCAAGCTTCCAAATTAGTAAGGCAATATAGCACTGCTACACATGCTCCTGTACTCTGCCTGTTGCTTTCAGAGGTTGCAAACATCTCAGATAGTGACTCAGTCATCTATGCTCAAACTCAAGCGCTCTATAACGTTCACGCAACCACCTTGCCCCCTCAAGTTTGTGAAGTCGGTATAGAATTTAATCATTTCTGAGTGCTTGTTTTCATTTGCCTGCATTTTGTATTTTAGAATCAAAGCCTCCATCTGGCCAAGTATCCCAAACCCCAAAAATACCTTGGGTCATATGTACAAGAAGCCAGGCAAGGTGAGTGCACTATTGTAGCATTTTCCTTTCCTGCTGGATAAGCTGGGTTCAGTTACGTATTAAAGAAGATGCACAAGTGCGATAAGAAGGCTTTTCAATGTGCTGTCAAAAGAGACCGTTACAGTGTGTTTCTTGATGACCCTTCTGACTAAAAGCCATTCTCTCTTTCCTAGCGTTAATCCCACATCAGCCGTCGGAGTGGGAGGGGGGGGAGGAGAACAAAGTAATGTAGGCAATTCATGGAGGGGGATTATTAGGAGGCAGAGGAAATTTGACCAGGACACCAGGGTTACACCCCTACTCTTTTCGAGAAACACCCTGGGATTTTTAATGACCACAGAGAGTCAGGACCTCGGTTTTACATCTCATCCGAAGGACGGCGCTTATTTCCAGTATAGTGTCCCCGTCACTGTACTGGGGCATTAGGACCCACCTGGACTGCAGGGTGAGCGCCCCCTGCTGGCCTCACTAACACCTCTTCCAGCAGCAACCTTAGTTTTTCCCAGGAGGTCTCCCATCCAGGTACTGACCAGGCTCACACCAGCTTAGCTTCAGTGGGTTGCCAGTTGTGAGTTGCAGGTTGTTATGGCTGCTGGCGTGACTAAAAACCATTGATATGGTGTAAAACCCATCCCAGCAACCTGATGGAACAGTGGCCTTTTCTGCTCTTGAGTCCTGGGTTTGATTCCTGGCTCGAGCACCCTCTTGGGTAGAGTTTACACATCATCCCTGTATTTGCCTTTGGTCCCTGCTCCCTAATATGGCCTAAAGTACTGTAGTTTGGTTGTGCACATGCTAGATGGATCACTGAAGACTTGAAGATATTTAAAATCAAGCGGAACCATTTGGGTTCAATAATCGATAATAAGGAGTCTTTCCTTTCAAAAGACTCCACCTGAACTGTGCCGGGTGCACCTAATGCAATACTGTGCAGAGATGTGGCCAAACAAGTCCTCAAAACAGGTTTTAAAATATTAAAATCCTTCTAACAATAAAGTTCCATATAAATTTGGTGCATTTAAATTTGTTTTTTAATGTCACTGCTAATGGGGAGATTTACCTGACCTGTGCCTGGATATTTCTCAACAGTATTTGTTATTTCAAATGCATTATTACAATGCACTGCACTTTTCCCGGCATGTGTAACATTGCCTTGAGTGTAGGATTTCTGCTCAAGCACTCTCCTTCCCTGTAGGATCCTGTAACGAGCTTCAACCCCGAGGCCTTCAGAGACCTGCCCATCCACTCCGTGGACGCCCTCGAAGTGAGGGTGGTGGACGAATCCCTCCTCCTGCCCCCCGGACCTCAGGACCTCCCGCCTGGCAGGGAAAGCAGCCCGCGCCTCACCCTGTCCGGCTCCTCCTGCCCTCCTGGGGAAGCGCAGCCCATGCTGGTGTCCAGGGAAAGTGGGCAGGAGCGGAGCCAGGCCTGCCCGGCTGCCAGGACCCCAGGGGAATGCATTTCCGTGCCGACAAGCCGGAGAGATGAGGCCTACGTCACCATGTCCAGCTTTAACAAAAACCAATGAGCTGCGTGCAGGGGGACTGGCTAACTTTATGCAACTTCAGGGGCCTAAAACCCTCTTAGCTGTGATTAGTTTGGCAAAGGCTTCTTGCCAACCACACGAACACTTCTTATGCTCCTTCTGGCAAAGTGCTGATAAAGGTGACCACTGTCAAAACTTTCCACCAGCTTACCTGAGGTGCTGTTGACTACTGCTCCTAAACTTTCAGGACAGGGCAGGGGATGATACCAATTGGATGATGATACTGATCAGCTGTAGATTATACTGTTGATTCCCTTCCTTTTGTTGGGCTTGCTAATATCATATAACGAAGAAGGAGGCCAGCACCCTCTGATCAGTGATGATCAAAGTGCAGGGCAGGCGTGTTTCACAGCTCTTCCATGCATACTGCTGTTAAACCGAGCCGGAGCTTCAACGTCTTCATGTAGCTAAGCTTTCCATTTGCACACTAACTGGAATCAACTGCTGCTGTCGTTTTAAAAACTGGTCAGATGGGGCACAACCCTGCAAGGAGGAATCCATCCTTCTACTACAGCCATTCCATAGTACTTGGTATTTTAAATGTTAATCAAGGCCTGTTATGTCCAGGCTAACTGAGGTCTCGGTCATATGGATTTTAAAGGTTCAGATGTATACTGTAGGGTTTTAGTACTTAAAGGTAAGCATGAGACTGTTACAGGTTTCATTTCAGTATGGATCAATGGGAATCATAATTATTTACATGGGGCTCCTTCAGATGTATGCCAGAGACTTATGAAACTCTCAGTAATGCATAGATGTAAATCTTAGCCTTCCTTCTGCAAGGAAGGCTGGACCACTTGACACACTCGTGCACTTTTGTCATGTAAAATGGGCTTTAGACTTCAAAAGAGTACTAAGGAGCATAAAATCGTCAATCAGACCAGGCCACCTATGCATTAGTAGTTGAAGCAAGCAGAAGAACACAAGTAGAAGCTGGACCTTCAAAGAGGTGCCATTCTAGACTGCTACAAGAGAATATTTACTATACTTTTTAAAGAAAGCATTAAACCTCTTCCTTGCCATAACCCACAACACTACAATTCTGCTTTCACATCACTTTAGTGTTGTATTCGTTTTGTATTCATGCAAATGACTGTTTACGTGCCCCCTTGTACTCATCCCACTGCAGAATTTATGTTTGAAAGGACACCTTCTACTATTTTTTTTTTTGCTTGAAAATGGTGGAAAACTGAGTTTTATGCTTTGAGCAGCAATGTGCAGTAGCTGAACAAGGACTGGGACTGCGCTGGCAGAGCCTGGAGATATTAAATTAAGCGGTTTCCTTGGCACGGAAAATCCAACTGAAGACATCAGGTACATATTAATACAGCAAATTAAAATGTGTACCTTCAGGTGTCCAGCTGTTCTACAGGGGCCTGCAATCTGCTGATTAATGACACCTCTGCAAAGCTCATAAGCAAGCAATGAAATGGTTATTGTTGTGTGTCCCTGAAGCAAGTGTGTATGACCTTCTTTGAAACGCTTAGAGTTGCTCAAAATATACTATATATTAAAATGCATTACAGTACATGTACTGTATTTCTGAAGGCTTTGCAGCTCTTATCTGATGTTGACTCAGAAGTTGGCAATCTGGTCAGCTTTGCTCCAGGGTTTCTGGGAAAAGAAGTCGCCTCTCTCTCTCTGCAGATGCAGCACCACTTCCTCAATCCCTCTTCACCTTTCCAGTCAACTGTCCTTGTCCATTTCCGATCTCTGATCTTCAAGCTGCAAAATGTTATCTTGGAGACCTGATTAGAATGTGTTTGACTGCAGATCATGGCTTCTGTTGGCATCTGTCACCTTCAGACAAAGCGCAGGACTGTTTTCTACTTCCTTATGTCAGTGGAGAAGACTGAATTATTGCATTGAAGGCTTAGGATTAGTCCCTATGCGTTATTGCCAATAATAATATAAAAATAAATGGTTATGTTTTTTATAGTTATGTTCTGGCTGTTTCTAAAAGGCTTAAACATCACCAATTTAACCTTTAATTATTATGCCCATTGAACAGCTGAGAGCCTTTTGCCAGAATGTGTCCTACAACTGGGGCTTGTATTTCTTTTTTCTTTTATGTTTCTATTAAAGTACTGTGGTAACCTGGAATGTCTTTTTTAATACTTTAATAAGTATGCTCAGCCACAGCTTTTGCCTTTAATGTGTAAGGGAAACGACACTTTTACACATTTGCTTGGACATGAATAGAAAATGGATTTAACAACGTGCCTTTACTTTTGATGTTTGATAATATGAATTATAAGCAGGGGGTTCAAAGTTTCTGTACTAACATATATACTGTACACACGAGGTGAACATAAAATGAAGTGAACAATTCTATTGCTCCTTTGGTATATACTGTTTATCAAACTATATTTGTTCATTTTCATGGTAATGATTCTGGGTGAATTATCTGGAGTTTGGATGGGGGATGGCAATATTTACATTTTAAACTCCATGGTGTATTTCTTTATTGTTGTACAGTAGCATAATGCCTTCACAGAACTCAAATGTCAGAAACAGGGGAGTGTATACTTAAATTGTCTTGCTGCTGTTTTAATTTTATGTGCATTATTACATGTATTTCTTAATAAATACAAGTTCTGATAAGTAATATGTGCATTGTTACTAGAAATAATATTTACAAAAATCTGTATTCAAGAAGTTGTTTTTTGGGTTCACATTAAATTTTTTTTTTTTTACTGTTATTCTTACTGCGGTTGCATGTATATTTTTCTGCAAAGACTTTGCACTGTGGAAACCGGCTGATAAGTGAAGTCATTGCAAGTATTGTATTTATTGAATTAAAGACCTTTGTCTTCCCTTCTGATGCCTTATGTGCACTTTCAAGCTTGTACAAGAGTCATAAATAAATACATGTGGCTGCTAATGACCTCTGAAAAGCGTGACAAAAGGTGACCAGCAAGTTCTGTTTATACTTTCAGTCGTGCGATATCGGAAAGCATCCAAACCTGACAGGAGAAGATGAGATGAAATGCCAGGAGCAAGGCAGGATTGAGAGCACAGTGAAGGGTGGGACTCCAGTCCATCGCAACACCATGAAAAGGGGACAATTTAGAAGGGTCAGTCAAACCCAGCCAGCATGTCTTTGAAAGGAAAGGAGGACACTGGAGCGCGTAAACAAACGGAAACACAGACAAACTCTACACTGACCGGTACCTGAGGTTGAAAAGGCATTATGTTAGAGGTGTTGGCCTCTGATGTCCATGGAAATTTATACTTCAGCGTTTATATATTGTCTTGTAGCACAGGCCTCCTTACCTGTCTACCGAAAAATAGTGTTGGAGCTAATCTGTTAGTTGTCCAAAATTCCACACAGGGCAGTCTGTTTGAGTGACCATTCTTTATGGATACTCCCATGCTATTGAAAAACCTTCTTCATTATTATTACAGACTGAATATGTTTTAATCCTATTTTCATAATTTCATAATGATCCTATAAATCTTGCAGCTTTAGTTTAGGGATGCTTTCACATTTCCTGTTTTAAACAATTGTTAAGCTTCTTCTGGTTTGTGGTTAAGAAACCAAAGGTTTTTTTTTTATTTGTTTGTTTGACTTGTTTATAGATTAAGCAGGCTCCCAGCTGGCTGATCGTGTAAATTAACTTTACAACATGCAACGTGTAACTTCATTAACCAGTTCTTGGTCTGAACAGTGGGATTGTGAAGTGCTAACTATGCTAGACGGGACTTGCAGTGTATGTTTTGAAGTATAATCCCTTCAGTGCTAATACAAGACTCATAGAAGCCCTGCAAAACAGCCTAACAGCTGGTGACTCTAACTGATGGGGGTGGAGGACGTTTATTGAATTATTTGATCATGCTCTTTTAAAAAATGGTGATGGTAACTATTTGATACCAGCACAACAATTTAACAAATGCTCAAGTACAAACCAAGTTCAAGATCACAAGAGAGGCAAAAGATCTAGCCATTACAAGGCATCCAATTTATACTCACAAATTGTATGGGTATAACAAAAATAAATGGTGATTTTACATGCAAAAATTAACAGCAGAAAGACTAATACATTTATTAGTCAGTAGTTAAATTGATAGTTTTTGTATAATCCAGACTAAAGGTGATCAACAGGACAGCTGTTTATGAAATTAGCAAAGATCAGGGGAAGGTTAATCTGGCAGTATTTATAGAACTAAGAAAATTGAAAAAAGTTTGAAAAGACACTGTGCAACACAACAATGATCATGGATGAAAATCAATATTGTATGTACAGCAGAGCACAGTGAGCATAAAATGTGTGTTGATGAATAGAAAATCCACATCTTTTTTTTTTAGCATTGCCCTGAGTCATGTCAAAATTATTTTATATGGTCTCTTCACACCAGAGCAGTACAGAGCACTGTAAAGAATTACAATCCAAGCAACACAATATGTACAAAAAAGATCAACATGGATAAAAGGCACATTCAGTTACAAAGGGCTCAGATGTAAACTCAGAAGAAGAAGTGTCAGCCTTCCTGATGCCTAGCAGAATAGAATTCTGTAAAAGAGGTATCTTAACAGCATAAAGGCTCCAGCTCCATCTGGTTTTTGGGTACATCCAGAGAATATCAGAAAGGAATAAGTAGCTCCAAAAGGATCATGTTCATGAAGAGACTTGAATGATAATATATTCAGCCACTGACACAGGCTTACAATAAAACATAAATAAATAGGAAAACATCTAGCTTTTCTTTTCACATAACTATACTAAGCAACAAAGGAAACGTATCATTCTTTATGCATGTATATTTTTAGGAAAACAAAATAAGTAAGATTACTGATTCAATGTCTCTCCTAATATCTCAACATTGATCACACCCTGGGACCTTACTCACTGCCCTTTCTGTGGGCATTCCAGCAGGACAACACGGAATCATGCTGCGCCTTTGACAACGGCTTTCGTGTGAAACAGTTATGCCATGGAAACCCTACTAGGCCAATTGAACATTTGTGCAACAAACTTGGACAACATAATACCTACAGCAGGTCTCAGAGACCAGTGAACAGACACATGCTTGTCCAGACTTTACCGAAAAAAAATGAAATCCCACAAAACAGCATCTGCAACCGGCCAAGCATGCACTGCACATCAACCGGTCACATTGCCTGCATCAGTGGCCATGCAAGTTACTAGCCTGTGGCTTTCAGAGCAGACTTCCAGATGATTGACCCAATTGAGGATAAATTGTAAGCAGCACCTTCATCACATCAGATCAATCACATGTCAGAGATACAAACATATTGTAATTTTCCTAATAATAGCATTGTGAATGTTTGCAATTATAAGAAATTTGCAATTTGATGCTCAGTATACTGTACATGACTGAGAGCTACTAGAGAGTATGACATGAATCACACATATTATTTCCCACAGTAACCTTGCTCATGTTTAACAGAACCTATCATGTGCACAGCAGGAAAAGCATTAACTGGCTGCTGACAGGATGTCACAAACAGGCATTTTGAAACAGTTTACATTTCACGACCAACAACAGGTAACTACACAGAAACAACAGATTTCAAGCAGGTATATCTGTAAATCTTCTGTATTCTCAGTAGGTTTTGCAATCATTAGAGAAGTCTACTTTCTATTTAAAAAATAAAATAAATTGCTTCATCTAATAAAGATATTGGGTCCTTGCGCTGAGAAATCCGATGTCCACATTCAAAGTGTTGTGTTGATTAAGAGCCACGCATGTCCATATTGGAAAATAGATCTTTCATCCCAGTAACCACAACTGCATCACTGTCATTAGATAATGGCAGAGAATCCAACGTTCATTCAAAAGGTAAAGATTAGTTAAAAGCAAAGTAATTACTTTTTTATCCCACTGTGATTGCTTCTAAAATATTTTGAAAAAAATTAAGAAAAATTTCACTGTTCCCAAAAGGTCCAGGTAATATTAAGATTGGAATCACAATTTCCATGCATTCTTCATCATTAGAATGAAATAGACATCGCTATCAATGGATGCACTGACTCCAGAATAATAATTGAGAAATTCCTCCTTGGTTACCTGAACAGGAGAAAAAATGAAGGAAACTGCAGTTACAGAACTGACAAGTGAGAGGCCAGCACAGATTCTATAGCAAAACTACAAATAAGTAAAATTGAGCCATCCCTATATCCCTACATCACCATAACACATGTATTCAAAGACTAGACTTAAAATTGGAAAAACCAAACTTGGAAAGACTGCTCTCATACTCTGGGAACCATACCTGAGTATGTACTCTGAGTATAAACTCTGTACTGTTTCCCTGCAAGGTAGCAATGCAGTTACAGTATAAATGCATAGCAGAGATGAGATCAGCTGTCCTGCTCATTAGGACCAAAGCTCATTACTGGTAACTCATACTATGATCTTACCATCACATCATGATGTAACTAAACACACTATTGGTCATTGCAACCATGATTTAACCATCTTACCATTGAGTGTATAACCATTAACTAATCATTGTACCATTGAGTATTTAACAATGATTTAACCATCACACCACTGAGTGTTTAATCGTGATCTACAGTAACTATCGTACCACTGGGAATTGCAATCATGATTTAACCATCGCACCATTAAGTGTATAACCATGATCTATCATCACACTAGAGAAAATGGGACACCACTGGTCTCTCCAGAGCTGAGCTAGATCAATCAATTAACTTGTATCTGGTCTTTGAATACAGTTACAGTACAGTTTAAATTACAGATTAAATGTGAAATGTGAAAGGAGAGGGATACTTCTGGCCTGTTTTAAACGTCTCTAGGATTCAATTTCACTGGAGCAAAAAGGAACCAGATTTTTACAAGTATTACAGTAGTCAGCAGCAGCCCAACACCAGCAGCAAAAGACTGCAGGAGAGTTGTGAAGTTCAGTGTTTTTAAATGGTACAGGCAGGAGTAAATAGAAACAAGACGGTCTGTTTAGGTATATCAGTGCCACTGCATCATTTCCTGAATTGCCATGCAGAAAAAAAACTGCTAATAAAATATTGCAGGGGTTACTGGTGTACAGACAGAAATGTATGCAACTAGCAAATAATTATTGGCTATTTTGAAAACTATGTTTTACAGACTACCAATGAATTTAAGTCAGAGATTCGTATAACATCTGTGTGTATGTCAACTCACTTTTCATGTGAGACATCTCACTTCTTAAAAGTTTCCAAAGAAAGAACAAAGCTATATTTAGATTTTCCTGGTACATAAGGCAGTGCACTAATACAACAGAACATTATCAAGGATTATTATGTTTTAGCAATCCTAACACCATGTCAACCCCTATTAAAGAGGGTACTCCTGAAAATTTTCTGGAATTCTCAGAGATGAGCAATACTGTGAAAGAAGAAGCCCAGAATTCAGTCATTAACACACCTTCAACAAGATGCTTTGCTCCAAGAAACTTACAAACTCCAAATATTTACTTTTTTACACCACCATATTTTTTCATGCAGAGTTTAAAAGTAGGGGTGCAAAGGGACTCCCATATACTTTAACAAATAAAGGTGCCCTGAAAGAATGGAAATTTCAAGACCCCATAGATGGCAAATTGATTCCTCAGCAGGCAATTGACTCCGAACACACTTACACCAGGGATGAATTCCTACTAAGCACCGAAGTCACCTGCATGAAAGTAAAATTTCAAGCACCAAAGACATTCTGTGTAAAATCCTGGCATGTGAGCAGAGCATGTTAGTACTATCAGCTTCTACAAAGAAAGTAAGAGGAGGAAAAGACACCATAACATGTGTTTCTATACTGAAAAAAGAAAAGCCACTCTGCTGTGATAAAAAAAGTGAAAAACTGTGAATCCCCAAGTTCCAGAGTGCCTGCATGCACGTGGCTACAGGGAAGACTGGTTACCCTAAAGCGGGCATGCTGCTGGTTAGTTTAGCTTCCAGGCGCTCTTCATCATCACGATAAAGTAAACATCGCTGTCTATGGAGGCGCTGACACCTGCGTAGTAGTTCATGAACTCTTCTTGGGTGACCTGTTGCAGCAAATCAAAAACACAAAATAACAGAGCCGTCTGTGTGCGAAAACAAAACTTTCAGTGGCCTCTGCTTCAAACTTGTCTATGTGTCTGTCTGCCGTATTGGCATGTGCAAGAAAAATTCCTGATCACCTGAGAGGAAGGAAACTGAAAGTTTAGAATCAGCTCCACTGAAATTAAACATGCACAATACATTACAGTTCATTACTGTTCACTCTTAATACAGGCACAGTCCATCAACTGGCTATGCAGGATTGTCCTTGAGATAAAAAGTAATGTTAAGAAACAAAAATGGAATCCAGCTCCATTACATATTTTAATATGAATTAAAGTTTTAATTTGAACAGAAAAAAATATCTGGAGTTAACATTGCACCAGTCCTGTGGAAATAAAGAGAGTAAATAAAATGTTTAAGATGAGACATTTTTTAATTTAAATAATTTTAGAAAAGTTTTACACTGTTGTGGAGGGGGTGTTCTTTAGTGTGTCTGATCTGTTAAAATCTGTGGGTACCATAAGATTTGATAATGTAGGACACCCCACAAAAATACATTGCTTCTTCTTCGGCATGCATCCATCAGTGAGCACAATTTGTAGTGCCAACACTCTGACACTTTAGTTTTTTGTGAATTACCCTCATTTAAAGTGTACTTCATGTAGTTTGGTGATCTTTTGGGAAATAAAATCTATTTTTAAGCCCCAGATCTTCTTGTGAACAAAGGCAGGGGTGTGACAGAAAAAAATACAGGGGGGTTTGACACATCTGTCCTTCGCTGACTCAGAACAAGGGGAAGTGGTAACAGTCTGGGGTGAGCATCATGGTATAAAGTCCTGCAACCTTGTGGTGTTAAAGTGGTGTTAAAACTGCCTCTAACGTGAAAACCCCCCTTAAATAATACAAAATTGAATTAACTGCATTGAACAACACTGAACGATATTCAGACTGGACCTCCTCAGTTCACTTACAGCAGCATTTGTGTTACACAAAACAGGACACCTAAAACAAACAGAGTAAAATACCTTTTGCTAGACTGAAGGATACACAACGGTTTATAAACATTTAGATGATGACATAAAGAGAGAGATGGCTGCAGTCATTGGCCATGCATAGTTATTGGAGCTTCTGAATGTTGAAACAGTTGTGCAAAGTGCTTTGCAGAATACAAAATGTGACACCTCAAAGAAAAAGTGCTGCCGCCTCTCGTTATTTCATTATTACTAATCTGAGCAGGGTATGGAATCTGTACGTCCTTTTTGGGCCTATGCACAAAATCACTTACTTCCAAATGAAATGCCATTTTAGGTTTTAAGAAAAGTAAAAAATTAAGTCCTAATGACTTCTGATGACTTAATGACTCATTACTCTTTTGACTCTTTTTTGACTTCTGATGACAAAAAAGTAAATCTTATAGTACTATTATATGACCACTTACATGATACTTTCAACCTCACTTCTGTTAAGAAACGGGTACAAACTTGGCGTGGAAATAAAATGTTTTGTAAATACAAACTTCCTGTGTGTTAGAAATACATCATTCCTACATCAAAAACATCACACACCTGACCGTCTTTATCGTAGGGCGAGTCAAAGTTATCCAGGAATTTTCTGAAAACCTGCTCCTCCGTCCACTCTCCATTCTGATACTTGGGATGGTGCTTTGCATTATAAACTCCCTTGAGGTCCTCAATGGTTATCACTCCATCACCAGTCCTGTCCAGTTTCCGAAAGGCTTGCATGATAACCTCTTTTCTTGCATTGGACATGGACGGCTAGCATACATGAAGACAAAAGGATGAAAACCATTACATTCAAAAGATTAAAATGGGTGCAGTGTTTTATATTTCCAGAAAGTATAAAAAAACTGATGGTAACTGATTGAAAAAAAACATATGCAACACAACAACTTAAAACAGGGAGTGTTTTAAATAAGAGTAAATGGTTACATTAGACAAGACACTGCATTTATGCTTTGCTCAAACAGCACAATAATGGGCTGTGTTTGATTTTTTTGTTTTACTTTTTTGAAGAAAAAAGAGAATTCACAAAAAAGGGTGTAGATTCTTGAAAGAAACCCTAATTTTCTCAACAAGATAACATTAATTTCTATTGTGGTGTTACAGGAGCGACAATTACTGGCAGAGCTTTGGGTTTTTTCTCCCAGCATTCACCAGGACTGGATGAAACATCTACCTTCATGTCCATCTGTTTATTCTGGCCAATGAGCAAGGAGCAAAACCTTGCCCTTTCTATTACAGTAACATTTAGGCTCTCAAAATACATTTTGAAGGATAAGAAAAAAAATGCAATCTGAATCACATCATTAACACAACTTTGCATGGGATATTCCACAGTGCAACTCCATTTAATATAACGCTGCTTACGAGATTCAGTGTCTTTTTTAATGTGACTTTCCATCACATTAAAAAATAAGTTTTGCTCACAGTCCACCTTGTGAAAAAAACCAAGAACTATGGCTCAGAAAGAAGGTTTTACAGTTCTGTAGACTAAATGCTTTGGAGATACTGAATCTTATATTCATTGAATCGTTGTCAATTCAATCAACTCTCACAAATAAAAAGGAAAGTCAAAACCAATAAATGAAGACAAAAGTAAAATAAAAACATATTTTCCTAGATGCAAACATAGTGATATATCAATCAGAGACTGTTAATGCTGACAATTCCAAAACTTGCTTGAAGACAGCTTTTCACTAAAGCTCTTAATGTGTAATTTAGTTTTGTACAGCACTTGTTGAAAGGCACTCAGAAATATATTACTTAAAGCATGCCTAGAAAGTTGTTTTTTTAGCACTGCACACCTTTAGCATCAGAATAAATTAGTAATTTCTTTATCTGTGTTCATCTTGTGCTGCCAGCAGGGTGTTCAGTTCACTCCCCAGGAGACAGGGCGACAGGGATGGACTCCGACCAGGAACCTCCACATGTGAAGTGCTTGCTTTGTAATTGTCAAGGCGGAACACACCAGCAGACAGATCACAGTGCTGCCAGACTGATAAACTGAGAGACGTATATGAAGGCTGGGCGACTAACACACATCTACTATTAGAAATGAACTCAAAAACGTAAAAAATGTTACCCTGAATGAAATATATTTACTACAAAAAAACAATTGTGAAAAAAATAAACCAAATTTTTTGTGAAATAATAATAATATGTCAAAATCAAAATTATTAAGACAATACAACGAAGTACAGTGATCTGGTCAGCACAGGACCGTTGTAGTCCGGGATCTCTCCTTCTTGTGGTGCCATCTGCTGTAAATTCGCATGGCCTGTTTTAAGCCTACATTTCTCCTCCTCTCTGTATAAGGCGTGGTGTATGTCGCTCTGGATGTCTCACAGCAAGGTTCTGTCTCAGCATCGGTCAGTCTAGTGTTTCTCCCTTTGTACCGCACTAATCTTCTAAAAATGACACAAACGGGTGGCTCTGCAAAGTGGGACATTCTTCTCATAAACAGAGTGGTCTCAGTTACGAAAAGTACAGATATGACACTCAGAGAAAACAGAAGTCATTTGACTTGAAAAACCAGCTTTAACCACACAATGTAATTCAGCTGACTTATAAAACTTATCGGAACATTGAGTGGTTAAGTAACACAAGCTGGTTTCAATTCTCCACAAGAACACTTGACATTGGCAGAATGAGAAAGTACTGAGAAATTTCCTTTTTTTTACTGAATTCCACATTGCTAGGCTTTCAATAGCAAATAAATCACAAGCAGCATACTTGCAAAAACTTGAACTGATGAAATACTGCATATTTAGAATAGATATATGGATCAGTTACCCTTAACGTAACAAGGAATTCATCAAAGTCGATTGTTCCACTTCCATCTTTGTCAAAAATCTGGAAAAGCTTTATGGCCTCCTCCTTCTCCATTAGTACTCCATAATCATTCAGGCCTTTCATAAACTCTTTCATATCAAGAGTTTTGTTGTTGTCGTCATCCATGATCTTGAAGGTCCTGAAATAACAGTTACTCCAGTATTATCACATTCGATACTTGTGTAAAAAATGTTTGAAATTCTGAAACAGAACCATGGTATAGTTCGTTTAGTGAATGTGGAAAATGTACAGTAGGATAAGTGCTTTTGTTTTTCCACTCGTTTAATTGATTACAATTTAGTGGAAGTAAAAGGTTGGTGCATCTTGCCAAGAAAATGTCTAAAAAGTAGAAATGGTGTACATAAGATTTGAGCACACAATGAGCCCTTTGTCTCATCCATTGTATTCTTAGTAAGGTGGCCAAAACAAACATGACAGAGTAGGAAAAGAAATGTGAAACTGCACTTAACATGGCTAATCAAATACACTTAGTGAATTTTAAAATGTAAGAGGAAGATTAAAGGGGAAGAATCAGGATAAATTTGATATGATGTAAATCTTCAACACAGCTCACCACATTACAGACAGGTACTAGGCTTGATACTTGTACTATACTTTATACTGTGACCTGAAATACTGTATGTAAAGGCAAATCACCAGGTAATGCAACAAAACCTCACAGAGGGTGACATCTAGTGGTGTGTTACAACTACACCTCAGGTACAGGAGTAAGGCGTCCTACTGTATAACAACTGCATTAGAGCTGATCTAACTTTACTTTCTCAGAATTTCTGTATGTAGGCACAAAGAAAAACCCATCTTTTGGGGCATCTCCTGCAAGCAGGTGCAGGAGAAGGCCCTGTCACCCATAGTATGTAGAGGGGCTTGTGGGACGAAAGGCGACAAGAATTAGATGAACGAAGGGTGATAGGTGGGGAGTAGGATGAAAGTAGCTCAGACAGGTAATGAGGTGACAAGCCATGAAGAGCCTTACATTATGAGGATTTTGAAGTCGAAGCCAGTGCAAGGACTCCAGTATCGAGCCCTGAGCAACACCAGATGTAAAGAGTCCAACTGCAGAACTGAAACTCCCAAGATACACAGTGTCTCGGCGATCAGGTAAGACTCGACCATTTAAGAGGCAGAAATTCCCAACAAAGTCTCAAGATAACAAAGTAAAATGTCATGGTTAACAGTGTCAAAAGCAGCACTGGGGTCAAGGAGAATAAGGATAGAAAGAGAACCAGAATCAGAAGCCATAAGTAGATCGTTAGTGACTTTAACCAAGGCAGTGTCTGTGCTGTGTAGCAGATTGGAAGGATTCAAAGAGATTATTTGTAATGAGAAGGTTATTTTACAGACTTTTAACAGCATGTTCCAAATTTTTTTGCAAGAAACAATAGTTAGATAAAGGGAGAAAATTGTTTAGGTTGTTCAGAGCCGGATTTGGGCTTTTTTGACACAGGGGTAACTGCAGCTGTTCTAAAAGCCATTGGTACCACACCAGTGCTCATGGACTCATTTATTATGCTAAGGACAACAGAGCAGAGAGTAGAGAAACAGGACTTAAATAAAGCTCAGGGAATAGGATCTAATAAACAGGTGGTGGATTTCATACTGTATGTGATACAATACAAGGGCAAGCAGCAACAAGTAGAGAGAAGCTAGAGAAAGGGGAACCAGCAAAACTAGGCAGGGAGGAGGAGGGATGGTAACATGTGTTGTGGAGGGAATGTGATGAGGGGTAGAGCTCTAAAGAGAACTGCCTTTTTTTAACATCAGCATAGTCTTGGAATCTCCTTCTCCAGTACAGTTTCTCTGCAAAAAGCACAGATCCCCTGCAGTGTTTCCCAGGTGGGTTTACCAATACTAACTTTCTGTGTTTTCTTTCTTTCCAAGCACATCGATATTTACCATAAAACATAGTTTGACTTGCAAACCCAAGACATAATGTAAATGCAAATACAGGTCTCAGGAAACGTTCAAATAAGTGACTGTATGCAGTATATATCGTGACATGTAGTTACAGTGGTTAGCACTGCTGCCTCACAGTGCTGGGGCCCTGGGCTCAATTCCTGGATTGCTATCTGTATGGAGTTTGCATGTTCTTGCCATGCTCATGTGGATTTCCTCTGGATGCTCTGGTTTCTTCCCACAGTCTAAAGACTTGTTAGTAGGATTACCAGCTTCTGGGAAAATTGGCCCTGGTGTGAGTGTGTGCGTTTGTGTCTGTGTGTGCCCTGCAATGGACCAATGTCCTGTCCAGGATGTAACCCGCCTTGTGCCCATTGCTTGTCAGGCAAAGCAGTTAGAAAATGGATGACTGGACTGTATCTATATACAGTGAAAAATATTAGGACAGTGAAATGAAATTGATTATTTTTGCTGTGTACTTTTTATGTCATAAACAACTCTCTAGTCTTCATCTTGGTTTATTCTTTCTAACTCAGAGGTAGACACAAAAAGTGAATTCCAAAGGCTGGAGTGAAGGCTATACACTCAATGCTCATGGAACACCCGAGCAGAAGCACCATACTAACACTCACCAGAAATGGAGGGATCCAACACAACAAATGACACTGTTCTAACACGGCTAAGCATGTATGCAAAATGATTCCCAGAAACAAAAGCTGAAATTCTATACATTTGACTCATATTAAAGTGTTGATCCGAAATACAGATTTCATTAGTCCACACCAGAAATTACACATTTCCCCTCACTGTCCCAGTACTTGTGCTTTTCTCTGTTTGACAGCGCTGGAAGGGTTCTGGTCCCGACCAGGCCACACTTACAGTACCTGCCCAGTCCTTTGATGCCCGCAGAGCCCCGTGACAAACATTGGAGCCGCAGCCTCTCAACAGGGTCTATGCATTTCGACAGCTGCTTTTTGGCATTCAGTGACATTTCCCGGTCATGCCTTGCAGTCCCAGACATTTTTCCCTGACTCTGGAATATAAGAACAGCGGTTTGATCATTTTAGTGTGCTCAAAAAACATAAAGACCCTTAAAAAATAAACTGTCAAGCATCGGGCCAGGTTAACTTTTCTTTCTGACATTAACAAACGATGTTATTATTCCTCTTTTAGAGGTCAAGCTCCATCGCCCTCACTGCCTTTCCAATACTGACTTTCACAGCTCCCTTTCATCACGCACAACAGGACCGCCAGAGGAATGAGACCCACAAGGAGCCATCAACATGCGCTCGCAGGCTCGACTCAGCTTCATACTGTATGATCAGCCCAAAAAATCTCCCAAGGAGATGTGTAACACATCACCAGTACTCAATAAAGGGCACCAACCTCATTGTGCGTCTTGGCACACGGCCAACGTTCATGTTTGTAATGTTTGGTCAACAGATAAAGGTTGTTTTAATAGTCATCATTTTGTGAATGAGGCCCCTGGAAATGTATCAATGTTCAAATTTGATTTAATCTGAGCAAAGGAAAGTCTAGTCTACTGTCCTCCTTGAAGTCACCTTGAGTTCTCTTCAAAGTTAGAAGCAGGAAATCCTGATAAGACACATCTATTTTGGAACCTTGTTCAGTCTGTCTGTGTTTGTCGGGGTGGGGGGGGCAGGTTAAAGTACATAATTAGCAAAAGCTACTTACTGAAATTACTTACTTGTAGGTCAATAGGTAAATCTCACATAAAATGCAATCGATTCCAAGTTAAAAAAATAGAAACTATAGGGTACTACTCCATCAAGCTGAAACACGTCTCTAAGCACAACCCCATTCTCCCAGCATGTTTAAATGAGCTACAACAGTCGGTCACTCAAAGGGGAATAACCCTATTGCACACAGCACTTAGCTTGCTGCAACTCCACAGGTCTCCTAATCAGCATTAACATGCTTTTTGCAGCTTGTAGCTGCAAACAAATACAATGCTTCTAGTGTGCATTTTCCTTAACACAAAGGGAAGTTATCCAACTTAATTTCTGCTCTGACCCACTCCTGACTGCTCCAGAGCCTGGCATTGCCTGCAATGCCTTTAAACAAGATGTTATGGAGCACGTAGTGTTTCGAAACTGGAAATTATTAACACCCATCTCTCATTATTTAAGTGTAGACAGCCCTGGAAGTTTTCACTGAAATACCCAGGTAAAAGCTGGTTAATTGTAGTGAGGCAATGATGGAACTACAGGAAAAGCTTGTTAAATTACAAGAGTGTTATGATAAAGCATGATACACACTCAGTAACATAGTGAAGCAAATGTGTGGGAAACCATTGGTAAACTGCAGAAACAACAATTGTTTGCATCTATACAGTATCCAGAAACATCGCATAGCGCTTTACATATTGGAGGAGATCCCCGTCATCCACCACTGAAGTGCGGTGCCCATTGTACACCAGCAGTCCCACTACACAGCAGATCAGAGAGTGAAGGAGAATTTACTCCACTGATCGGGTTAAGGCTGGAAGTTTAGGGAGACATCCAGATTATACCAGGGGTAAATGTACATGAATATTTACCACATTAAGCTTTCACAATGGAGACATTGTTGCCACATGCTATATGTACCTGTACCTGGACAGGACAATCAATGCTGAGGTTCAACTCAAAAGGCCTTAAAAGTACTACTGTATGACAGAGGCTGTAGACAGGCATCATGGTCAATGGCCACACAAACTGCCACTGCTTTAATGGAAAATCCTTAACAGGTCTAAGATACAGAGGCAACAGCTGTGTCAGTTCAGAGTTGCTATTGATGCTGATTTGACTTCAAAAGTTGATGACGCACACTTATAGGGCACAGCTGTTGAACCAACACTTTGAGAGTGTAAATATTACCCCTATAGACAACCAGTAAGATTATAAACCCAAGATCTGTTAAGAACTGATTTAGAATGCAATCCATGTGGCAAGTTCAATCATTTCAGAATCTGAATTAAATTTAACAGGCAGCACAGTGGTGCAGTGGCTAGCAATGCTGCCATACACTGGGACCCTGGGTTCAATTTGAGGGGTGCTGTCTGCGTGGAGTTTGCATGTTCTCCCCATGTTCACATGGGTGCTCATGTTTCCCTCCCACAGCAAAAAAATATACTGATAAGTTAGCTGGCTTCTGGGAAAATTGGCCCTGGTGTGAGTGTGTGCGTGTCTATGTAGGTCTCTGTCTGCCCTGTGTCCCACCCAGTGTGCATCCTGCCTTGCACCTGTTGCTTGCCAGGATAGGTCCAAGCTCCCCTGTGATTCTGTGCTGGACAAACTGCTTGGAACGTGTGTGGATGATGGATGAAGCTTATCTGAAAGAGAAGTCTATTATGTCTGATACTAAAAACATTTTTAAAAATCAAACATAAATGCTAGAAATAAGCAATCAAACTGATTTATCAGGTCTGTCTTAAAATTCGTCTTTAATTTGTAACATTTTAATGAGTTATTAGCAAGATAATAATAATAAACTTTATTTTATATAGCGCCTTTAAAGGTGTCTTCTCAAAGAGATTTACAGGATGACAATAACAATAAATAAGAAGACTACAACAATAAATAAGAAAATTTCACAAGATAGGACAGATTATAATTACAACAATATAACAATAACAATAGAGGAGACCGTGGAAGATGGTATTAAGAAGAGCAGAGGGGTGAAGAATGGAACCAGTTAAGTAAAGACTTTTCTGAAGAAGAAGGTTTTGAGTCTGGATTTGAAGTTTAGAGAAGGTGACTCTCTAATATCCTTGGGCAAGGAGTTCCAGAGCTTGGGGGCATAGCAGGAGAAGGCCCTGTCGCCCATACAATGTAGACGGGGTTGGGAGACAGTAAGGAGGGCAGAATTTGAAGAGCGGAGGTTGCGAGGTGGGGAGTAGGGCGATAAAAGTTCAGACAGGTATTGAGGTGCCAAGCCATGTAAAGCCTTGTAGGTGAGCATGAGGATTTTAAAGTCTACGCGGAATTTGACCGGAAGCCAGTGCGAGGACTCCAGGATAGGAGTAATGTGAACACTTGCACTAGACCTGGTCAGGATTCTGGCTGCTGAATTTTGGACATACTGCAGCTTGTTCAGAGTAGATTTAGATACCCGAGGGAGTAGAGCATTGCAGTAGTCAATTCGAGATGTTGAATTGACTAAAGATGGCTTTAAGATGTTCTTAAAGCCAATTTGAACGGTTATCATCTTTCAACGCAAAGGTGTTTATGGGGTTGATAAATATATATATATAAGCTTTAGCACAGACTACAACTTCAGGAAAATCCAGAGGGAATCTAGACTAAAATCAGGACGGTTACAGAAGTTATAATAAGTCGAAGGTATTGTGCAACTGGTAGGTAACAAGATTACATATTCGTAACTGAAGCTGACCACTGGTCAGCCTGAGGTTTCATTGTAGGGAAACAATAAGCACAGTCCAGACATCGATTGCAAACACATGCGACCACGTTCAGGATGTTGTGTCCAGCTTCAGTTGGTCACATATGAAAATAACATCTCAGCATAAACCCAAACTACTGTTGATTTATTCTACTTTGGTTTCAAAGGCATTGGCGACCAGTTGACCATCCTAACCCCTCCCCTCCCCTCAACCATTTTGTTTCTAGATTACACAAAATCGAAATTTGTAGAATAATTCTGCTGAGCTTCATTCAAATATTAATTTCCTTGATATTCTGGAGCACGTTCAAATATCTTGAACTTTCGGCCAATAATGTAAGAAAGGTGTGTGTGCGCGTTTACGCAAATATATTTGAAAAAACAAATATAACCAAAAAAGTCATATTAAGACGTCGTACAGGAAACACGATAATTTATCTGTTGGCTTCCTCATACAATCGCTCGCAGCACTGAGCTGAGCTAATTTAAAACAAATACTTGATAGCAAACTCTTGATAGAAAAAGGCCTCTCCATCTACCAGAGATTACGCTGTCTGAGATAAGCATAAAGAAAATGCATTTTTAAAATGCGTTTAATCATCTTACCCACCGCTAGTTTCTCTCTGCAAGTTGCACCCCAGGTAGGAACAGCAGTACAGCACACGGGCTGCCTTCTCCACAGCCCCGCCCCTAGCCAACTTCGGTCTCCATGGAAACATACACAAAGATGGCCCTGCTTCTTGTTATTGGTGCTTGTCCCTGTCAGTGAAACAAGAAGCCGCCGCCGCCGCCACAGTTTACAACCAGACAACCAATTCGTCGCTGTTTGTTGTTATGGAAACGCGTGAGGAGGAAGAGAATTGTTAAGGTGTTAAGGTTTTGTAACTAAGCTGGCAATGCAGAAAGTTCTCGTCAGTGCTATTTATTTTTTCGTTTTTTAAGCTGTTACTGAACATCAAAAACAACAACAGATGTAATTACAAATCTGAAAAACATGTTAAAGTTCAACAATAAGTTCATTTGTACATACTTCATGATTATTAATAACGGACTGATAATAAATAAAAACATGTTTTTCTATAATACATCTTGCAAAGTATAACATAAAGTAACATAAAACTCCTTAAATCTAACATTTACATTTAAATGCTTAAAGAAAAGGTTTTGCAAGTCTATCCTACAACTTTGTAGTTCACCACAGCGTGTCATTTAATGTGAGGGTCCCCTGGCGCAATAACCCACATGTTATGTTTTTGTGTGTGTGGCTTTCAGTGTGTCATCATCAGCAGCAGCATCGCAAAGACTGGATGCATTCAGCGACAGTGCGCAGACCCTGTATTACAGTGGTCTGGCTTTGCCACACACCCGGTTAACGCGAACGGGTCGCCTTCTGCCCTGAGAGGTATTTCAGGTGTGATGGGTAATGCCTCCGCACATGGCTCCTTGTCTGGTCAAGAACCAGCCCTCCCCAAAACGCACACATCACATCGCAGAGAGCCTGTTAAATAGTGAGTCAGAACTGAAACACTAATAAAGTCCATCCATTTTCTAATCGCTTTACCTAGAACAGGGTACCACCACTTATACCACCAAGCAACAGGTGTAAGGTAGGATACACCCTGGATGGGGTACCAGTGTCGATTTTTCCTGAAGCCAGTTCACCTACCAGTATGTCATTGGACTGTGGAAAGAAACCCATGCGAACAGGGGAAGAGCATACAAACACTTTGTCCAATAATTTATTTGTACTGTAAATGTCTGCAAAGTTTGCGGTCATTGTACCAGCTTCGGCCACCAATTCATTCGTTTTGGCCATAGTAATTCAAAGGTGAAGGTCATGCTGATAAAGCTCTTTGAATTTGAAATTTGAAAGGTTGTTCTCCAGAATAATAAAATAGATTATTGTTCAATTGCAGCACATATTTTGCTGATGGCTTTGTCCTTTAGGCGACTCTCCAAAAACACATGGAGACCAGGCTTTAGCACAATACAAATAAGAGAATGAGAAGTAAACCAGATCATACACAATAATTAATAGTATAGTAACAAAAGGGTTTCATCAGAACGGTGTTCTATTCTAGTTAACTAAAATCGTTTAGTTTTATCCATCTATTGTCAAAGAGACTTTTGTTCCTGGTAGGGGGTCAAAATAGCCTGAAGAACATGGTGCAAAGTGGGACTACACCCTAGATCGGATGAACACCACACCCACAAGAACACAGGAATATAAACACATTTACTCAGAGGCACCAATCAAGCAAGTAAGGCGGCCTGTCTGTGAAAGATGGGAGGGAATCTAAGCACTTGAAATAAAAACCATATGGAGAACTCCACACAGAATTAAAGCCCAGGAACCACAAGCTATGAGGCTGCAGCTCCAACCACCTGAGTGGTGCATGACTTCACAGACACCTGGGCTTATCTCCTCTACTCCAGCAAGGCAATGTGTTTTTCCTTTCTTTAGCACCAGCCCAGAACGTTTTTTTTTTTCATTGTCTTGCCAGCACCTGCCCGACATCGTCCACGGAGCTGCAGGGAGGACTGCATCATGAAGTTCTAAAGCTGGATTCCTTCCACCCGTTTCCTAAGCCCTTCATTCAATTCACAGTCGTGGGGGAGCTGGAGCCTATCCTGGCAAGCAACAGGCTCAAGGCAGTGTACGCCCTGGACAGGATGTCAGTCACACACACACACGCACACGCACACGCACGCCAGAGCCATTTTTCCCGGCAGCCAATTAATCTCCTAGCATGTCTTTGGACTGTGGGAGGGAGCCGAAACACTTGGAGCAAACACGTGAACACGGTACGTTCATGGAAACATCCAAGAACATATCGATTCCACACAGATAGCACCCCGGGGCTAGAATTGAACCCAGGGCCCCAGCACTGCAACGCAGCAATGCTAATCACATCAGCACCCTGCCACCCCAGACTTTTTGCCCCAAAGATTCAGAAGACGGAGAGTCAGTTCTACATTGCAAAAGCTCGCACGGCCAGCTGGCAGAATTGGACATTAATCACAACAACATTGTTAATCGTTTGCACTCATTTCGTAGTTCCTGTTTGGGCACTTTAGAGTCCAGAGGGCACTTATCCAGCCAGGATTTCAGCAAAGCCAACAACTGCACAGAGATTAGCATGGGTCACTTGTGAGTCTCTGTCTTGCACACAGCTGGTAGTTAAGAGACAGATTCTACTACAATAATAAAATATTAATTTTATAGTGTTAAATGAAGGCCTTCTTATCTTCCTTCCTTACAAACAGTTTAATTATCTGTAGATCTTTCCTTATTTCCAGTCAACAAGTGAGTAATTATTAGGATATAACAACCAATCAAATTAAGAGATAATGATGACAAAAAAAAACTCTTCTACTGTTGGCTGCCTATAAATGTGCTTCTCTCTGAGATTAGTACAGTATTTCAGGTATGGAATGCTTCAGCTGTGAGATTTGGCAGTGTTGCAGCTGTAGGTGCTCGGTTCAATGACTGTTTAATCAAAGCTATTACTAAGCTTCTTTACCTCATGAGGATTGTCTTGTAACACTGAAAAATAGTGCATTTTACACTCACATATCATTGCCCTGCCATTTACAAACAAAAAAGGCTTTGGCTTTGCGTTCCTATGAAAATGCAGCATCTTCTCAGCTAGTGAAAAATATAAAATATATGGAGGAAAAGGGCACTGGATCCAATGAGGACAATCAACTCAAGCAACGCAAAATCGGAATAAGTAAGTTCTTTAAAAAGTGTAAAATTCTCCAGTTTAATAGGACTGGAAAAGGTAAAATATGAATAAAGGTAATGATACTTCAGTGGTCCGTGGTTTGAATTAGCTGAGCTTGGTTGTAGAAAAGCCCAACATCTGTCCATCATCAGAAAGCTATATCGCCTGGTAAGGTATGGGGCACTCAGCAAGATGGGACTAGACCCAGGATGAGACAACGGTCACCAAGACACACGCACAGGCACTGTTGAAGAGACACGTCAACATAGCTGGCACCTCTTTTGGAGGAAAGCCTGCAGAAAACCCAAGCAAGCATGGATAGAATATGCAGGCACCCCGACCCAGAACTGAACACAGCAACCATGAAGATGATCTTGTGAGCCAGCAGCCTGTAAAGTGAATGAAACATGATATAAACATGTTTTTTCTGGGGTTACCTTTAAGGTAATCTCAACAATACATTCACACTTTTTTGACTTTTTTCTTTTTTTTTCCCATTCAAGTAACTGCAGTGAGGCGGTGTCATGTTACCTAATTTTATCTTCCCGATCTTTCAGGATTTCCAGGCAGCTCCTGGTGCCAGGCACATTTTCTTTAACTTCTGTGTTTTCCCTTTCTGTGTTTTCTTTTCACTGCTATGACAGCAAGGGAATGGGGAGGAGGATCCAGTGGTCATCCCTGCCAGCCCCTCTCGCTCTCTCTTCTCTCTCTCTCTCTCCTGTTCACTCCCCCAGGGTTTGCTACTTCCTCAGCCTGGCCAGTGCTCAAGACCCCCTCTCACACACAGACCCGCACACACTTCCCTCAGCACACGCTGCAGCTGTGAGATGGCCAGGGCTGCTGTATGGCTTTCTCTTCTCCTGCTGGAGTGCCCCCTGCTCCTGGAGTCTGCCAGGATCCTAACAGTCTGTTTGATCGGTAAGTCGCCGAAGGTGACCGCACAGTTCGGTCTGAGCGGGTCAGTAGCTGCTGCTGCTGCTGCTGCTCTAGCTGCTGGAGGTGCCGGGAGACAGGGTTGGCTGTGTGGACTGGCATAGGCAAACACAGAACGGGTGGAGCAGAAAGGAAAAGAGACACAAGGTAAATTCAACATGCAGAAGCTTGGAAGAGATGAGTGATCGCAGCCATTACAGTGAGAAGCTTTGATTATGGAAACACTACAGTGTGTTCTGAGTGAGGGATTCATTTATATTGAAGAAGAGATAAGAATTAAGGCGAATGGTCATAAATGCTGTGCAGATCTTCAATGTGCATGCTAAATGACTACGACAATAACATGCTGGTTTATGTACAATCTAAGCACAGATAATTTTGTCCCAGGTCTCCTCTGTCCTACCTCTGAACTGTGAGTTTACAGGTTTGCTACTCAACACTTCCTGAGAATAGATGCACCCCTGCAGCTTAAAGGAAAGAGCCAAGAAGCTGAATAAACATTACAGGAGCATGTAAAGGATCTCAGGAAAATCCATCCCATTTGGTTGCACGTTTCATTACCATTCAATAACACAGCGACCCTCTCAACACCCGGTGTACTCTGAACTTTGAACGTCAGAAAGCTTACAGTGCAGCTGGGGGAAAAATACTTCATAAATGAACAACACGGGACTGCAAATGTTCACCTGCACAGTTCGGTATTGGCAAACATTGTTGCAACTATGAACAGCATTGGAGCCTGGAAACATCTGATCAGTGGCTGAGGGACCTGTTCTCATGGAGAAGTTTTCTGTCATTCTTCATGCTGTTCCCAGGTGAATCTGCTCAAACAACACATGCTGCTCAAATTCATGGCCAAACGTAGAGCTCCCAGGGCACGTTTTCAATAAATGACCTAATGTGGTCGATAAGTGGAGGGCCTTGACTGAATGTCTGAAGTCTGTTGCAAGCAGTTTGTAATGGACAAGAGGTGGCAGGATGGCAAATCTTTTTGTTCCACAGATACAAGCACAGAATAAGCAGCCCGCCCCTAAGAACCGGACAGACAAGACGCAAGATGCTGGAAAGTAGCCTTTTCCGCTGGTCTGTTTAAATTCCTTTCTTTTAGCTGAAAAAAGCATAGGTAGGCACTTTAAGTTCATTTAAATTCTGATGTTTGAAGCACGTCAACATTTAATAGCACTTAAAGATTTTACAAACTAAAACTGAAACGCTAAAATGTAAGTCATCTTATTTGAACTCAGTTATATTTTGGAAAAATGAAATTGCTGTTAATGTGTATTTTCCATTTTATTTTATATTCTTCTGTCTCAGTGGCCGTGCTATTGCCAAGACCATTTCTGAGCAAACGGAAATTGGAGCAGAGTCATGTGGTTGTAATGAAGTTTAGCATGAGGGCTCACTGGCAGTATTATGCAAATGTTGCCCTGTTCATCGTAAACCACAGTGATATGACTAGACCTGACATCTGCAGATCATCTTGGTTGTGTTGGGTTTCCACCACTGTGTGGCGCTATATCGTCCTTTTGTTGGGATCATAACAGCTGTGACTCTCCTTCTCCCTGTAACAAGGACGGTATATCTGATAAAATCAATCCCAAGGAGTTGTTCTGTGCTTATAAGTTTCTGATAGATCACTAATTAGGCTTACGTCATTGTAATCTAGAAAAAACTTTTTTCCAAAGTTTGATGTACCTGTGGTACCTGATGTGTATTGTAGCATCAAGATGTTTTTGTTTTGTCTGCATTATTTTTTTCTAGATCTGCTCGGCAGCATAGTTAGTGCTGCTCTCTAAGGGCTCCAGGTCTTGGGAGTCTGTCTGTGTAGGGTTTGCATGTTCTCCTCTCCCTTGTTGGTTTGGGTTTTCGCAAAGCGCTCTGGTTTCCTCCCACCTTCCAGAATCACCCTGGGAGGCTTGATCAGCACTTGGGTATGGACTAGCATCCTGTCCAGGAGCAGAGTGGTTCTGTGCTCAGTCCTGCCCTGTGGCCTGGGTTTCCACAATACGCCCTGTCTTGTCATGCCCCTCACCAAAACAGGACAACTGCTCATGAAACCAGACTGTTCTGTTTTTCCTTCAGCATCATTTCAATTTCTTCTGGATCCACACAAGCATAAATTTCTCATCTCCAAAGTGCGAGAAACATAAAAGGTTGTGGAAAAAATCCTTGGGAACCCGCTATTTGGGATTGCTTTGTGATATTCCTCCACTCCAGCATCAGTGACAGCCTGCTGGACAACGATACAGGCAGATTGGTGCAGGCCAGTGGTCAATAGTGGAAAGAAGTCTCAGGGCCTCTACCTTTCAAGACACACCTACAGCACCTGGTGAAAAGACCAGCCTGGCGGTCAGCTTTCTTACACACGGGCACACACCATGGCATTCTCTACTACTCAGATAACGCTCCATATAACATCTGAATAGCATTTGGAGAGGGATTCATTTGGATTTTTGTAAGCTGTTCAAACATGTGCTTCTGTAAAGTGTACAGGCAACACAGGGTCTCTAAAAGATCTTAAACGGAGGTAGTTACAATATCATAAAACTGCTTTATCGGTGACACAATGCACAACTGTAGGTTTTTTTTAAAGAAGAGGTTTCTCACTCAGCAAGATATCTGTACACCATCACTCCCCAGTGCAAGTCATCCTATTGTATACAGACAAGTTGAGGGAGCTAAATCTCTTCAGCCT